ATGGGAAAATGTAGAGGCAACATACTTTACATACTGTAGGCATTCGAGAATGTAAGAAATGTTGAGTGTGAAACCCGGCAATAAATTTATAATCTGACAAAGTTGGTAAAAAGAAAAAAAATAAACTTTTTCTTTTGAGCTGCTAGTGATGTTGATAAAGAATATATATAACGAAGATGTCTCCTTCAAAGCGAAGTACTTGCAAGATTAGAACAGTTCTTTACCTTTATAAATAAAGAATTTTCTTTAATTTGTAGGGTATTCTTTAATTCTATAGGGTATCTCGAGCAGTGGTTAAGCTTTGCTGCAATCGTTGATTAATTAAACGTGGGCTGCTTTTCGCAGACTCTCCCCCTACTTGGCATACTCCTCTGTGCTCCTCTTTCGCTCTCGGTCATCAGCCCACACACACGGGCAGAGAGAGAGCGAGAGAGAGATAGCGACTGCGTCAAAAGAAAGCCACAAAACGTAGCCATTTACTGACGTCGCGACATCAGCGCCGTCTCCCATTTCCTCCCTCTCTCCCCATGCAACTAGCGACACTTTTTTTCTTCTGCCACAACGCCTCCATTTCCATTTCCGTTTCATCTGTTCATGGTTACCTATACCGCGCCTGCCCCTTCCGCTTTTAGCCAGTCTCAGTTCTCAAATGTGCCTGCAACTTTTGCAACTTTCTCAGACTGTCATCATCGTCATCATGACCGCCCTACCGACTGGAACTTGGTCTGGGACTGGTAATGGAACTTTGACTGGGAGCATGCTTATTACATATACTTGTGCTCATATCTCTTTGTCTCTTTGTTGCACATCGCATATCGCTAGGCCGCATATAATGCTGATTATTCAAGTATTCGTATCTGCAGTGTTGTGTCAGTTTCTCTTGTTTTTTTTTTTTTGTTTTTGTTTTGTTTTTGCAAGTATTAACTTTGGCTTTCTGCAATTGCATTATGCAATTCCCGGCGCGTCCCCATTATCATCAAGATGTGTGTGTTTTTGTTTTTATATTAAAGAATGCGCCGTGCCGTCAGCGCTGGCTGAGAGCCGCTATAATTTCACATACATCTCAGGGAAATATTTCCCAGGAGATTTTTTCTTTGCCTTCGCAATCGGAATAGCAAAAGCTGACAAATTAAAGTAAAGTCGGTTATTGTGAGCGATGAAGTTAAGAGCGTTGTAAATGACTCTCTAAATTAACCATGCTCCGTAATACACAAGTTCAAATTGCATTTCTTTAATTTGAGTGCGAACTCCACTTACTAATCATCATTTTGTAGGTTTTCAATAGATTAACTAATTAGTTAGTTGCAAAAACCTTAACAAACGATTTATATATGATCTTAGCATAACTATCATTAGCATAAACATCTAAAGATTTGCTTCAGATTTTGATTATAAGATATTTGATTACGTATTGGGACCTTGTTTTTTATGATACGCTATTGTTACGTTACCGGTACGTAATGGTACAATATAAAAGTTTGAAAAAATATGTGAGAGCTGACTGAGGACTACTCTGATAGCAGTAGAATATTAGCTGATTGCACCTGACAGAGAACTTTCTTCCATTTGAATATCAGCACTAATAAATAAATCAGGTTAATAAGATTGTAATGAAATTGTGATGTCAATAGGCGGAGTGAGGACTGCAAGAATATGTTATTTTTGGTATGTTAAAGAGCTGCTCTTTTTTATGTATCTTGAATTTATTAAAACAAAATTAAAAGTGTATAATGGGTTTGTAAAAAAGTATGTTATGAAAGGAAGCATCTCCGACGCCCACAATGTATAAATATTCTTGATCAGCTGCTGATTCGATCTACCCATAACTGTCAATGTGGTTGAGCTAGCGTATCAAAGAGGCTATAAGAGCTTTGAACATAACTCCTCGTACACCACCAGCTTACACATACATACATCAAAGTATCGACCATTATGATGTTCTGAGATGATGTTTTGATTCATTGATTACAGTCATCAATATTTACATATGTTGTGCTTAGGGGTGAAAACTGCAACTGGAGCTAGATGAGTGGTATAACTTGATGAGAAAATTGGCAAGCATATCTATAAATATGTCTATACAAATATATATAGGAATCATGAGCGACTATTTTTTCATTAGTATTTTAGAAGTCTGAAAAGGGGACGAATAATTTTTGAGCGAATAAAAGTGCTTTTTGGGTTATAATTAATATGTTTACTTAAGTGGAATTTTCAAATTATTATGTTTACGATTCTTTATGCTAAAATTTAACACAATTATTGAAGAAAAAGAATTGTTTAAAAATAACTTTAAGACAAGTTATAGAAGAACACACTGGAAAGACATGAAGACGAATAATTATTGGTCTGTGTGTATGTAATTTCAAGCTTGATAATAAACTGGGCAATTAATGTGCAATAACAAAGCCATTAGTACGAGTAGCAATTTCATAATCCGCCAGATAGTTAACTCATCCATTTCAAGGCATTAAGGTATTGCTAGATAATTGAACGATATATATATTTTTTTATGGCTGCCCAGCAATCGATGTAATTGACAATGCCATAATCAACGTCTGTTGCGATGCGGTCGGTCAGCTGGGTTTTGTTATCAAAAGAGAGCCGAAACCAGTTGTAACCATCGTGAGTCATTTTTATGAGTGTGTGTGTGTGACTGTATGTGTGTGTGTGTAAGCCGACTTCGTGATAAATCGGGTAACATCGCCCACCCACGAGGTGTGTGTGAGTATGTGGCTGGGTTTGGTTCGGGTTCGACTGGCACATTTATTACCCTGGAGCATTAGCTTAACTTCACTCGAAGTTCGATAGTTGCGGCGTGCAGCGGGTAGCGGAAAGAAAAGCGTTTGCGACAAGTTGTGTGATTAAGCCAAATTGTGAAATATAAGATAAATGAAAATATATTTAGCAATATAATATAAATAAATATATACAAACATAGTCTCTCTATCTATTATATATTGAGCAAAGGCTAAGCATGTGATTAAGCACAAAATATTTTGCATTTCTAACATATCTTGGCTACAGTTCAATGTGTGTGTGTATTTGTGTGTGTCTGTGTGGATAAACAAACGAGTTGCTTGGAAAACTTGTTGTTGTTGTTGTTGTTATTGTTAGACTTGTTGGCCAGTCTTATCGCATATACACGGCCACATAAAAAGTGCTGATAAGAAAAGGTTGCGCAGTCTTTGCCGTCCCTGGCTGGAAGTGCTTGTTTTAGAAGTTCCGAATTTACTATATAAAAGGCAAATTTTGTATTTTATTTTTATATTTATTTATTTTATTTTCTGGTCTTTTTGTTTACTTCTGCTGACTATCAATCAGGAGGCTAGTATTCAATGCGACTTTTGACTCTTTCTTTTGGCTCTTAACGTGCACAGTTCGTTTTCGCTTTCTACATTAGGTCCGGGCGCTGTCTGTCTGTCTGTTTGGAGAAATTCTTATGCATATTCATGGCTCACAAATATGGCCAACTGACAGCTGCTGTGCGCTGTTGCCACCTTATTGGGCTAATTGGCATGATTCAAGTTTAGTTTGCAAAACACAAACACACACACACACATACACAGTTGCCATCTCGTAATGCAAATTCACCAGCAGGCAACGTATTCTATGGAATTTGGTCTACACTTGATAATAATAATACATACATAGCAAAATAACAATTGGGTTCGTTTTGTAAGTTTGCTTCATAACAAAACCAGAGTAAACAATAGCTAAATACTAAGTTTCCTGTGCGTATATATTTATGGTCTTTTTTTTGCTGTTCTTTGCACATTATATATTTGCTTTATCAGATATGCGTATGTATTTATGTTAGCAGCTTGTGCTAACTGTTGCCGTCAAGTGTTTGTGGTATAAACAAAATAGTTTTCGATTAGATACATTTCAAATAAAACCCAGCGTCAAATTTCATTGACGTTGTTATTAAAGTTTATGCTTATTTAAATACTTGATTCAGATTTCATTCATTTCCTGAAGCATTATTTGTGATTCAGATGAAGGACTTTTTCCAATAAGATTCTTAGAATTATCGATCCATTGCTACCGCCTTTCCTTGGTCCTTTGTTTATTTGTGATTTAGATGAGGAAACACTGTCAATTGAGCTTTTATAAGAGTTACCGATTAGATCCTTAAATCTTGTTCACTAAATAAATTTAAAATAAAGCTTATTTGCATTGCTACGCGTTGTTATTAAAGTTTGTGCTTATGTGCAAACTTTTTATATGTTAGACACTAAACAAGATAATTAAGTTCTGCTTACAGGATATCACCCAGTCGAGCTTTTTTTTATAGTCTTCATGATTCAGATAAAGGGATAAAAGGCTTTTTCTTTGAAATATCAATTTATTGCTACAGAAAATTAAATTCAATTAATTAATTTTATCGTACAAGTAAAATCGCCTTTCTTTGATCCTTTAGTTGGTTGTGATTCAGATTCACGTAACACTTTCGCTTAATTTTAGTGCTGATTTATCGATTACTATCTTAAGGGAAGCTCAGTTTTCCATTAGTTTAAAAACTGTTTCACTTTTTCAATTACGAATCCAATAATTGTTCTCCTCCAGCTTCTATGAATTAAATCTTTCACAAACTATTTTCAATGGCAATCAAATGAATGCCGTGAAAGTTGTGATAGAAATTGTTTGCCACTTGAAATTGATTAGAACTTTTCATTTGCATCATAATAGTTGGCAGCTTGTATAGATATCAGATCGGAAATGTTTAGAAAAGAGCACAGAAATGGTTGCTTTTTTCTTTTCTTTTTTTTATTTATCAACTTTGTTAACTTTCTCATATCGCTGCAATGCGACAATGACATGACAATCTAGAACCCGTCGCAACTAACTTGTTCTGATTGTTGTCGCTGTTGTTGTTGTGTTGTTATTGTTGTTGTTGCTGTTGCTGTTGCTATTGTTGTTAGTTGTTGATGTTTCCTCTCTCTTTTGAACAATCTCTTGTACTTTTTCTTGATAACTCGTCGCAGCTGTCGTCGTGAGTCGTGTGAAAAGACTCGGGTCTTCTAATTACCATGAACTGGTCACAAAATTGAACAAACCAAAACACACAGGAAAAAGCAGAACATTCAACACATGTTAAAGACATATCGTAATCAAATTCAAATCCAAACGAAAAAAGTCCCCTGAAAATGTCTAGTTTTCTGAAGAGAATACGCAGCATGTTGAATCCTCAACCGAAACGCGAGATCTCTAACGAGGAGGTCAGCTCTCCACGAGATGCCAACTCGCGCAAATTTAATACATTGCCCCGCAACTATGCCACAAAGTCCAGTTCCATACGGCGACGAGCGAGTGCCTCAAGATTGTGGAATCGTCTCGTATCGCATACTGAGCCACCCACGGAGGGGCTATTTTATACAGATACGGTAAATGCTTCCAAGCATGCAGGCAATTATCAAATCAAAAACTAATCGCAAATCCCAATTAAGCAATTTTTTAATCCATTTTATTTGAACTCTTTTGTTTTTTCCAGGGCGAATACATCAAGCATCCCGTTCTGTATGAGCTCAGCCATAAATATGGCTTCACAGAGAATCTGCCCGAGAGCTGTATGTCCATACGGCTCGAGGAGATCAAAGAGGCCATCCGACGTGAGATACGCAAGGAGCTGAAGATCAAAGAGGGCGCCGAGAAGTTGCGCGAAGTGGCCAAGGATCGTCGATCGCTCAGCGATGTCGCCGTCCTCGTCAAGAAGAGCAAAAGCAAATTGGCCGAACTGAAATCGGAGCTGCAGGAACTGGAGAGTCAAATACTGCTCACATCCGCCAACACGGCGGTCAATAGCAATGGTCAAGGTAAGCACCATGTTTTATTACTCAACTTAAGTTTGCCATAGGCCAACTATTTCAACTTTTTACCATTACCCCAAAAAAAAAAATATCTTTTACGAGCGCTTGTCACGCAAACCTGCCAACTGTCTTGTTATCCATCTATATCTATAGATAAATTTGTAACTATGCCTCTCTTTGCGTGTTCTTCAACATTAAAAGGCGCGAAATACTTGTGCGTTTATCTTTTATCGTTCACTCTCGTATCGCGTCACAAAACACTTGCCTTGTGCCAAGTTTTTACTTTGTATTTACAAATGAATGCCTATACACAGGGTATACCAAGAGCTTCTAAGAAAATATAGGCTTCGCCCTAAAAGGTTTAGGTTTTCTTGATATGGTTAAAGGCTGCTTAATCGGACTATCTCAGAGTGCCTTTGGGTTGGAGTAGCGTACTTTGAATTATGCATTTTTGTTGAAAATATACACAGATTGCTGTTATTATTGTTTTTTTTTTGCTATGTTCTCCAATAAACCTTAACCTTTGTATCTTTTCTTTGAAATCTGCTTGATACAACCAGCTTATCGTGTCTTTGACTTAGAGTAACTTGCTTTCAATTAAGTTAAATATTCGCAGAATATATTTTATTTATATGATGTTTATTTTTGCTATGCAATCCAATAAACCACAAAAATATATATTTGAAAGTGCAACATGCTATTAAAGAGTAGTTTAAATATATTCTATAAACTATCTACAGAGTATCTTCAAGTCGACCGCTTACAACGATAGAGTGAGAGAGAGACTTGTTTTGTTTTTTCTCTCAACTATTGACACAAGTGGCATGGAATATTTAGCTGAATGTGACTGCTCAACGTTTTAGGTATGTGCCACCGTTTCGTTATTCTATCTGCTTCCGTATTTGTTGCCACAGCGACCAGTTGCAGCCGTCAGCAACCATCTGACTGTTGATTCCGTCATCAACAACAACAACTACAACTCCATCATCATCATCATCAGCATGATGAAGATCTTCAGCATCTGCATTGTGTGCTGTGCTGAAAGCTTCACGAGCTCGTTCCCATGTGCTGAATTGATTGACATGTTTGGCAGCAGCTGCCAATGAAGTGCAACAAACATTTCATGACTGTTGTCTTTTTTCTATTTCGATAAAGTCTTATTCAAATTGTGTATATTCACTTGATAAATGGTGGTAAGCTCTGTGAACTGCTGCTAAGTTTTCTTGGCATTTTTCAAGTTTTATTTTTCCAGGTATAGTTTATTTCATAGACACGAGTTTTATTCAAAGAATACATGCACTAGGTAAAAAGATAAGCTCTGCGTACTTGTTTCTGAATTTTCTTGGGATTTTTCAAATTTGGTTTTTCAGTTGTCTCGATTTAATCACGTTTTACTTATGAATTTGATTAACCATCTGCTTACTCCAATTAATATAATCTTACTTTATGCGAAAAGAAACAAATGTACAAGCGTCTTAAGTTTTATTTCAAACTAGAAACAAATTTAATTCGGAATGGGATAATTGTATATTTTCTATGTAGAAAAATGTTGTATTTTATTTGTTATTCTTGATCTATATCTATATGTAGTCTATGCTTCTTTATTACATTTTACTTAATTAAATATAAAACGGATAAAATTCAATTTACAAGCAACAAGTTGTTGGCATAAATATGCATCATCATATAATCCAATAAAACTGCTCATCACAACTTGCCACAGCTGTTGCTTGATTGCAACCTCTAAATCAACCGCCCTTCACACAATTTGCTATAGTTAACTATGTGGGTGTGTGTGTGTGCTTGTGTGTTCAATCTGATTAAACTGTAAACAAAGCGTGTCAGAGGGCGGGCGTCACGTTGGTGTCAGCAGCTGTCGGCCAAGTGAAGCGACCTGTCGACGCTGGTCCGTGTTAATCACAATTATTATAGCCAGACTGACCCTTGACCTTTGACGGCAGGCGGCTAAATGTAGTTGCAGATTAAACCATGGGGTAGCACAAGTTAGCAGCTGTGTGAGCAGCTATTAAATGTAACTAAGTTCAGTGATTGCACTTAATTAGCAACAGTCAGTGCATGTCTAAGCAATAGGATACCCAGCAAAGTGGAAAGACAGGAAGTGTTATTTAACCCTCTACAGCCAGATAACTTCTTTAGACGGCCTAAATTTATTTTTGCACTTATTCACTCATCTTAATAATATCGTTAAAACTTTTTTTGCGCAACATAATTGTTTGGTCCGACTTTAACTAATTTTCAACCTTGCATGCGTGTGATAGCTAATGTTAGCATTAGGATATGTTGCAAACGACAGAAAATCCATTTTTAAGGTTACCCGATAACAAAAAAAGAAAAAAGAAAAAAAAAATGAGCTAAACGAAAATAAACTTGAGCCGTCTATAAAAGGTCTTGGACAAAATAGGTTTAAGCAATCACAAACTGGGATTTGTTTAAAAGGTCAATAATTTTTTCTATGGTTTCTTTTAGACTTTGTGCATGTGGAAACTTTGAAACCATTTCCAAGCGTAAAAGAATAGCGAATTTCGAATCAAAATACTATTTCCAAAATTTAAATGCAGTTTCATTCTAGATGCTAAACCAAGATACAAAAGTTATCAATGCCTTTGTAAATTGTTTTTAGCTTCGACGAAGTTATAGCAATGGGTATGCAATGTAAATTTGTTCCCAAGTTAATTTTTATCATTCTCTGTTGCACAAGCCAATCACAGGGTATACACTAGTCTATATGTGTGACGAAAACTAATTAGAAATTTTATTTACAGATTCGATTGCGTTCACCATTGATGGCAGCGGTGCTGCACAGTTCGCTGGCGGTTTGGGTGGCAACAATGCGATGGCTGGCGGTGGTGCACCGGCAACGCCCAATGATAAAGTGCTTGCCTCGCTGGAGAAGCAGCTGCAGATTGAGATGAAGGTGAAGGCGGGTGCCGAGAATATGATTCAATCGCTGGGCATTGGCTGCGACAAGAAGTTGCTCGCCGAGGCGCACCAGATGCTTGCGGACTCAAAGGCCAAAATCGAGTTTCTTCGCTTGCGCATCATCAAAGTCAAACAGAATCGCGAGCAGGCGGATCGCTTGAGGGCCGCCCGTCTCTTAACCGGCGATGAGCATGCTGTCCTCGGTGGCGTCGGCGGTGGCGGTGGTGTTGCAATTGGAGTGGGAGGTAACATGCAGCCGCAGAGCCTGGAGACGACGCTGGAGGAGCGCATTGAGGAGCTGCGTCATAGACTGCGCATCGAAGCCGCTGTTGTGGATGGTGCCAAGAATGTTATACGCACGTTGCAGACGGCGAATCGTGCGCCAGACAAAAAGGCGCTGCAAGAGGTGAGTTTTTCCGTCTCTTGTTTTTTATAATTTTGTTTACCTACTGCTACTTGGCGTTAATTAGATTAGCCTACTTACTTAGATCTGGCCGGTGGCCAGGTAAGCAAAAAACCGCGCGCGGGGGCGGGCCAAATCGCTTGGCCTGCCTCAAAAGAGAAAAAGAGAGAGCGAGAGAGCAAAAGAAAGAGTCGCCAGCAGCTTTTGCTGCTGCTGCTGCTGTTGCTGTTGCTTTGTGGCGTGTGCCACACGGCGTATGAATCATGTGCACATGCGTTGCGTTGAGTATACGCCACGTTCGCGTTGTGGCCAAGTGGCATACAAAACGAGGCCAATTACACGGCTGTTCAAAAATATTTCAATTTTATTTTGTGTCTTTTAAGTGCTAACTGTCGCCTCATTAATTTACTGGCGACTTCTTGCTAAAGATACTCGAAATATGCATAGTATTTCGAAATGGCTTTAGCCCGAAACAAAGCCCTATAATTGTGTATATTACAACAGGGTATATGCATTGTTGCAGTCTGTGTGATAAGGGCAACAAATTATGGACTTAAACGAAATTATTTAGATCGTGGAAGACTCGTGATATGAATGTAGTTGCTTAAATTTATTATATATTCCATTGATAACAATTCATTACTATTTTTATTGTTGTGTCAAAAGAATATTAAATTCAATTTATTTGATTCCTTCATCAATAAAATTGCTGATATAGTGTTATCTTTATTTTTGACTTGCTTTTTATTTATTGATTGTTAATATACTTTAGATAAAAATCTATGACTAGTTTGATTTGTTGTGTTTAAAGAATATTAAATTGAATTTATTTATGTTCTGAAAAAAGGTTTAATATAACTCTGCATTTAGTCATGAATACCACCTTATTTTTTATGTTATTAGTTTTTATTATTATTTATTTATTTTTAAAGAATTTAACTATTGAAAGTAGCTGCGACAACTTAAAAAATGCCTATTCGTTATTTCTACAATTTAAATGAGATCAATTTGTTAAAAATATGCTGTTTATTCAATTTAATATTCATAATTAACAGAATTTCGAGCGTATTCAAAGTGCAACCTGACATATCTCACTCGACTTCCTGTCACATGGGCAGACGATTGCCTTGTGATTTATATGTTCAACTGATGCCGCGGTTTATATTTCTCATATTTTCTTAAAAACAGTGCAAGGTGGGTCTCTGCATATGGAGTATAGTCATGGAGCCCGTCTCCTGTTCTATTACTGGACATATTTATTTGTTTAAAATACCACAGCCTGAATTTGGTGGTGGTTGTGGAGAAATGCTTTGCTGTTGTGCAGTTTTTCTTTCTTTACTTTTCTTTTCTATTTGTTTTTGACATAAACATATGCAGGCGACCAGCAGTCAACAGATGTTGTTATTTTAATGTTTTGGATTGGCTCAGTTGGTTTTTATTGGGCGATAAACAAAGGCAACAGCCAAATGCCCTTTGCTCATTTGTGTTTGCTAAACATTAATAGAACTATGCTGAGCAGCACGTACATATCCACATCTAGAGTTTCTACATCGATATATATATATATATATATATATTTATTTGTACATTTTGAGAAAGAGAGAGAGAGCAGCCAAATTTCTGCCTGCCTGCTTTTTGAAAACGGAAAATTGTTTCTCTAGCAAATTTTCACGCATTTCAGTTTGAGTTCTGTTGCCGTTTGGGCTACGTGCGCGCTTTATTTCCCCCGGGGGTTTTCTTTCGTTTAGTTTGCCGTGTGCCTTTTTTTTGTTTTGCTTAAATGAATTAATTTCTAGTTGAAATTTTTAATTATTTTTGTTGGTCTGCGGCGGTTTTTGTGTAATTTTTTGTTTTGTTTTTGGGGCTTAAACTTTATGCATACGTAATTAAAAGAGACATTCACACACGTACACACAAACACACACACACACCCATAAGCACAAACGACATCAGTTAAATCCCAGGCATAAAAAAACATTACGCATACGCAGCGTGTCTGCAGTTTTAGTTTTCTCTTCTTTTTAATACTTAGTTACAAAAAGAAAAAAAAAATTGCGTAATTTTGTATTTCATTTTAATATTTTTGTCTTGCTAGTTTTCGAGCTGCATTTTATTTTCGTGCGTGGTTTACTTGAATTGGCTTTTGGGGTCATCTTGCGATTTTTGAGTATTTTACAACAACAACAACCAGCAACAACAAAAAGTAGCAGCAACAATAAACGTCAAGAGAACTTAAAAATAAATGCACATAAAATTAGAAACACCATTTTACATGCCAAGTGAATAGAAAACTAAAAACGAAAGTGTTTTTGTGCGTGGCTGAATAAAGCTAAAAATACTATAAAAAAAGAAATAAATAATGGAAGATAGAAAAAAAAAAACAAAAAAATTATTAAGATTGAAACGAAAAGTATCAAAAGCCAACAAACCACCAAATAAATCGACCATCTAACGAGGGCGGCTTCAGAAAATATATTCAGTGCCTGCAATAGAAACTTATTTTGAATTAGTGATCAGTATTCGTAACGAATTGCAAAATCAATCATTTCAAATGGTTTCCTCAATTAATTTTGTTCCATTTTCTCTGTCATATTTTTCATTTATAATTAGCATATTTTTGGTGATTCAGATAAGAATACGTACGTCAGATTGAAGATTATTAGAAACGATATTTTATATTTGAAGTCACTTATGTAATTTATTTTTAGCCTTTGTCTGCACGTATTTTGGCTATAGATTTTAATTTGTGATCATAAATTAGCAAATAATTGCCTCATTTGATCATTGTACAAACAAATCGAGGGCTTCTTATAGACAGACGGTTCAATTTGTCAATTTCATTATTTTTCTTGGGGATTCTTTTGATCTTTTTGGTTTTTTTGGAAAAGTGGAACACTCGAGTATTGATTTATCAGTAAAAATGAAAGCTAATTAATTCGATGCAAATTAATTTGAAATGGTTTTATGGATTTCAAAATGCTCTCTACGATTTTAATTTCAAGCGCTGGAACATTTCTAGCTGCCCTCGCAATGTTTTTGTGTGTACGTTTGTGATTGCCAAACTAGTATCAAGAGCAACGTTTTGTGTGTGTGATATTTTTAGCATATAAAAACTATATGCCGCGTATCTGTGCAGATCGTGTGTTGTATATAAAAGCTATAAGATCGACGCCCACCCATCAAAGGCGGCACCTTGGGCAATCAACATGTGTGCCTAGAAAGGCAGCCGCATTCTCAGTCGCGTCATGAGCAGCAGCGGTAACAATAAGAAACCCACGGAGGCGGAACAAGTGCCGTTGCCTCATGAGCTGACCGCCGAGTGGACAGTGCGTGCCCAGCTGACATTCGCACGCGCCGGAGAGCCAGTGCAGCGTGAGTTTAGTGCACGGGAGCCACTGCATCCGGTGCGTGTGGTGTACAAATGGTGCACGCCCACAGAGGACCATGAAATAGAACCAGAGAAGGTAAGTGGCCAATGGCAAAAGTTCGTTTTCTCAATGACCACTTAAAGTTAACAACAACTGAAATGCATATATAAAGTGTAATTATATATATCTGCATATAAATATGTATATATAATATATATATATATATACATTCCCCCAAGGCTCAAGTTCTAAATATTCATTCTTATTGTGAATTCATACGTTCAAAGACTCAGAAAAAAGTCCACCTCAATTTAGGAAAATGCCCAGTTTTGGCGCCAAGTGTAACTTATCTTATTATTATTATTAATTATAGAATATTTCTAAAACGGAAGGTAGGGAAGAACTAAAGGTTTTTTTTCTCAAATATAGGAAAAACTTATTTAATTTCTTGGGTGTTTTATTTTGTATGTTTACACAGAACTCTTTGATTATCTTTTGTGTTTCGTATATAAATATTAAACATTTGTTTTTTCCAGTTTTCACATATGCAAGCATTTTAGATAGTTTATAAATTCATAGAATGCAGACAGCATTTAAAATTCTATAAAGCAGTCAATAGACCAAATTCCATTACTAATTCTGAATTGCAGAATGGATTCTTTCTAAAAATTAATCATTGCATTTCGACTTTTTCGAAATAAGTTCTAATATAAAGAAATATATTTTTGAAAAATAGGAAAGAGCCTTTCTAATTTCAAATATAAGAAAATTGTTCTACTTTTCAAAGCGATTTCCAAAATTCCGAAGCAACTTTTTCTGAGTGTATTTACGTTTGTAATTTCAAGATCACTAAAACTGGTCGCAAAAATTTAAAAAAAATGGAAGCATTGAGAAAACGATACTAAGGCAAATACATATCAAAAAGAGCAGCATACTTAAATTTAAAGCGTTTTCCACAGGCAACGGGTGCTACGAGTTTTCGCAGCACCAACTCGTCGGCAACTACCAATGCGGATTCCGCGTTTGGCAGTCCGCAAGCTTCACGGCATACACAACCAGGAGCAGTGGCTGGGGCAACGATAGCAACTGGTGAGACTGCAACTGCTGGCGGCGTTAGTGCTCAGCAATGCGGCACACGTTGCCGCAGCACCTGCAATATTGTTGTCTCTGCCGTTGCCGACTTTCTGCCCCAGCAGCAGCAGCAGCAGGAGTCAGTCAATGAGCCCTTTGTCTACCACAGCAAGGTGAGAGCGCAACAGCTGCGCGATGCCTGCTCGCAGACAAGCGATACGGAGGAGCGACAGAGACAGAGTCGTCGGCCCGCCTACGAGCATCGCCGGGCGACGACCGAGGCGCTCATGAGTTTTGCCAGCAGGCGGCAAGCGGAGGAGGCGAACAACTATGTGGTAAGTGACTCACTATATGATGGCATCTAAAAACCTTGACTAACTATGATTATTTATTTGTTTACAGCCCCCCTATTCGCCCACGCTGTCAGCGACCACGCCCATTACGCCCTCGTCCACATTTAAATCGGCATCGCTGCCGCGAATACCACCATTGTCCAACACTGGATCATCTCCTCGACTGCTGCCCAATCTGGGCGAGAAGAAGCCGCGCACCGTCCACATTGATGTCTATTGCACCGGCTCCGAGGGCGATGAACAGGATGAGCAGGCAGATGCGGAGGCCAGCAGCAGTAGCAGCAGCAGCAGCCACGATTCGGACAATAGCCATGAGCCGCAGTATCACTATGAGCTCGACTCGAATTCGACGCCACAAACGGTTCTTGACAATGAGCAGATGCTGTTGCGTCATCAGCGTATCTCGGGCGCCGCCTTGCCGCGCCGATTGGCAAACAAATCCCCGCAGCAACAGAAGCAGCAGCAACAGCATCAGCAGCAGCACCAACAACATCAGCAGCAGCAGCAGCATCAGTCGCAGAAGCTCAACTTGGGGCATGGCATCACCAAGTGCAGCACGGCCGAGGAGGTCAACGAGTCCAAGCAGCTGCTCTTTCGCAAACATATTGGCGATCAGCGTGCCGCCAAATTGGCCAATCTCCGCCAGAAATACATGCGACAGCCGAGCGATGAGACGCAGAGCAGCAGTGCATATCCAAATTCCTCACGCTCGACAATGCCACACGATGCGACGTGCAGCAGCATCTCCAGTGCCATAGCTGGCGATTGTGTGGACTCCTCGTGGAAGGATACGGATGAGCTGGATACGCCCAGCTTTGCACCATATGCACCGTTGACCAAATCCGATAGTTTTGACTATGAGAACTCGCTGGATCGTGTGCGCATTCGACAAATGGAGCGACTCTGGTCACGTCAGCACTCCACGGGTCAAATGCATCAGCATCATCTTCAGCAGCAGCCGCAGTATTCTTTGCCTGCTGCTGCCTCGACGTCGCCGAATCCACCACTGACAACCATAACGGAGGTGCAGTCGCAGCGCGGCTCTTTCCAACGCAGTGATACGCTGCCTTCCGAATCGGATGGTTTGTCCGAGTACAATGTGGGCTATAATACATATCCAGGACGTCAGTTGCAGCAGCAACACACGGTGGCACGCAATCGTCCGGGGTTTTTGCACTTTTTTGGTCCGTCCGCCAGTCCAGAGCCGCCACAATCAGCACCAGTTGTAACGGCTGTGTCTGGTGCCATCGGCGATCCCTTCAAGCGTCTGCACGCCGGCTATCGCTGGAAGAGTGAGGCTCGCGACAATCTCAGCGTACAGGCAGCGTCGGGTACACCCTCCTCGGAGCGCAGTTCGCCGGCTCTGCTCTCGGCGACCGGCACTGTGGTGCGCTGCGGCAGCGAGGCACCGCCCAGCACCACCTCGGCAACCACATTTGGCACAACGGTGACAGCGTCCTCTCCGTTGCCCGTGCGTCGCTTCGAAATATCGCGCGACAGTCCCAGTCTGGCCAGTGAGACGTCGACGATCGTTTCGGGCTACACGCTGGAGCATCTGGAGAAGGCGCGACGCTTTGGCAGTGTGGTTGCCATGCGAAAACCGGGCCATCATGTCGGACCCACCAAGAATCCCAACTGCCTCTGCGAGAGCTGCCAGCGCTGGATGGCCGAGCGTTTCCAGCTGCGCGGACGCGCCTTCTCTCTCGGCGAGCGTCCCGTGCTGCGACGACAGCTGCCTTAGTTGGTTTCTAGTTATAGGCTTGAGAATAATACACAACTACCAAAAATGCCATTGCAGACAGAGAAAGAGAGAGTTAGAGAGAGGGAGAATTAAGTTAATGTCCGTCTGTTTGCGTTTACTTCTCTCATTACATGTAAGAAAAGTAGTTTTATAATTTCAAATAGTTAAATAACAAAGTTGCAGATCAGACAAGTCAGATGAGGTCTAGTTTCTGAGACCGCATTTAGATGGGCTAAGTTTATTTTGCGTTCGGTATAAAGTATTCATTTCAAAATATTTTAAAAAATTTGAAATTGATCGAAATGAATATTATTGTCATGATGATTGCCAAAAAAAAAAATAAATTTTTGATGCACAAATAACTAGCGACAGACTTTCCTAAAGGCAAATATAGAGACTTAGTGAGAAGCGTACCATATAATATATTTTTAGGAATATGATTCTGGTCAGGCTCTCTTGATATTGATGATTATATTGATTTAATTTATTTGTATTATATATTATTATTTATTATTTTGTATTATTCTTTATTATTATTATTTTGTATTATTCTTTATTATTATTATTTACCAAATTCTCAAAATGAATTGCCATCAGAAATATAACAGTTTGTTTGTTGTTTCCCTTAAGCGCAAATTCCCTAAGTGTTGCAATTACATTAATACAATAATTAAATAATGTTTAAAAAAATAAAGTTAGGAGTTTTTATAGGCTTTCATTCGGTGTTTCTTTAAGTGAAAGTTTATCTTTTTAAAGTTTACGAATGTTTAGTTAATTCTCCAACATATTCCCACATGAATCATACTCTGCTAGTTCCTTTCATCCAATACTTATAAATGCCTAATAATTTTATTATAAATAAGCCTCTGACTCTGCAATGGTCTTTAAAGTTCGTTAATTAGCGAATTTAGTACTATCATGATTAGTTTCATAGGTCTGCATTTAACACTCTGCGTAAGTTGACACACCGATTAACCACCCAATATCCCAGTCTCAATCCTAATCCCAATCCTAATCCAATCGACCTCCCCTTACCCGTAGCTGTGCCCTGAACTACACGCATAAGTTTAAATATTGTTCTCAATGTTCCTCACACCAAATGTGCGCTGAATCAGTTTAATATTTAATAAACATGTAATAAACTTGTAATATTAATAAAGTAGCCTGTAAAACAAAACAAAACAAAACAACAGAAACAACTTGTTTTCATACTCAATAATTCTTAATTGAAAACATTTAATTATAATTTAACATTCTATGGGTTTTCTTTTTAGGCACACGGCCGTTTGTCGGAATCATCGCGTAAATTAGATCTCTTGCGCTACTCCTTGGAGCTGCGCCGCCAGGAGCTGCCCGCCGACTCGCCCACTGCCCAGCTGTTGAAGCAGGAGTTGCAAATAGTGCAGCAATCCACATCGCCGGCACCGGTTCATTACACATCGCTACAGAGCGGACCGGGTGGGCTGCTGGGTGGAAAGTCGTATCAATCAGTATCGTCGATGGGTCGTTGCGCCAGTGTCACCGGCAAGCTGGAGGTGCGTCTGATGGGCTGTCAGGATCTGTTGGAGGATGTGCCCGGACGTTCGCGTCGCGACAAGGACAACAGCTCCAGTCCCGGTGATTTGCGCAGCTTTGTCAAAGGCGTCACCTCGCGCAGCAGCTCCAAGAGTTATTCGGTTAAGGATGAGACCTCCATTGAGATTATGGCTGCCATTAAGCTGGACAACATTACGGTGGGCCAAACGTCGTGGAAGCCATGCTCACAGCAGGCCTGGGATCAGCGCTTCTCCATCGATCTAGATCGCTCTCGTGAGCTGGAGATTGGCGTCTATTGGCGCGACTGGCGCTCCCTGTGCGCCGTCAAGGTGCTCCGGCTCGAGGAGTTCATCGATGATGTGCGTCATGGTATGGCGCTACAGCTGGAGCCGCAGGGTCTGCTCTTTGCCGAGGTCAAGTTCTTCAATCCGATGATCTCGCAGAAGCCACGGCTGCGACGCCAGCGCATGATCTTTAATCGGCAGCAGGCCAAGAATATACCGCGTGCCAAACAGATGAACATCAATGTGGCGACCTGGGGTCGTCTGCTCAAGCGCAATGCACGCAATCATGTGCACCTGGGCGGCAACGGCAGCAATAATGCCACAACAGTTGCTGGTGCCACTGCCATGGGACGCGCCTCTTCACCACTGCCCAGCAGCGCCGCCTCCCGTGGCTCCGAGTCGCCCATTTCGCGAACACCCTCGTCAGATGCGCTGGCCATCGAACCGGAGCCGTATTCACCCGGCGAACAGGCCCAAAATATGGAATTCGATCCGGAGGCTGGACTGCATGATCATGTTGAGACGCCCGGCGAGTATGCCGATCCCGGCTCGAGCGGCTTGAGCGGTCTGCGTCCGCTCTCCCTGCATATGCAGGGTATCAGTGTGCTGCCACCGGAGACACCACCGCCGGCAAGCAGCGTTCAGCCCAGCGCGGCCAGACCAAATTCGCTCAGTCTGCAGATGGCTGGCAAGACGACAGTTGGACGCACTGCAGCACCAACCACAGCGCCGCCACCGCCGCCTGTGCTCAAGGCCGTGACGCCTATCCTGGATCAAGAGGTAAGCAAATTATCATATTCTACGCCTGGCAACTGTATAGCAACACACACTACTCTACCCTATACATAAATAAAAACTCCTCTCTAAATATATATACATATATATATATTATATATAAATCTATATAGCTGTATTCTCTGTAGCTGACTTGATCGTTGTGCCTCTGCCAGAGCTGCTCATTCTGTATCTCAATATATATATATATTTATTCACTCATCCCATTCTACAATATAGTCTGTATAGTCACACTTTACGCTTTGGTGTTGGTATTTTTTTTTGTTTTGGAACTGTAAATATTTTCATATATTGATTTGGTCATTTGAATAGCTACCCAAAACTCCATACAGAACAAACTCGACGTTGAGTGCTCCATTTGACTACTGCTATTTTCAAAATTGGTCAAAATACTGTTTTCGATTTGTATTGTGCATTTCATTATCTACTTGAAAGGTTTGCTCAGAAACACTCTGCAATATTACGGCGAACTAGTTGTTAAATACATTTAGCATTAGTAACATTTTGTTAGCTTTTTTAAAATCAGTTTTATTTATTGGTTGGCATAACTGCAATATTTTTGAGGAATACAATGGGTTTAAAGTACTTTCTACTACAGTTAGTTCAGCTGAATATATCTAAATATTCCATTCCTATGGCCTTACGAACATCCCTAGCCAATATTTTGATTATTTGTGGCTATAAGCGTAATTTTTTTTTTGGTCGGAGTTATTTTTTTTTTTTAATGAACTAAAATATCATTAGTTAAATTGATGCGTGCTATCAAGAAACCCTTCCGAAAATCAATTTATTTTTTAAACTTAATGTTATATTTGGAATGTTAATGATATTAGCTCGGAAATGCATACAAACCCTCAACCAGAAAAAATATTTGAATTCGTGCAAGAGGTCGGAAGGAGTACTATACAATTAAAAATAGTCTTAGGTGATAGTTAGTTTAGTAAGTATAATTATTAAAAATTTTATCAAAAGAGCAGAGTTCTAAAAACCAAACCTTTATTCAAGCCTGGCTAGGTTCAATTCGTGGTTCCTTATATCTGATTACTTAGTGAGCATTACAAAGAAAGAACGTCATAATTCTTAAAGCATATTTGTATATTCCGTCTGCTTAGCTCTCTATCTTCCTCTTCCTTCTCTTTCACTCTCTCGAGAGGCGTGTGTTCTTTACATTATATCACATTCATGTCTTCAACTCTTGACCTCATTTCTACTTTCGACTCTCATATGCATTCTCTCTTTGCTCTCTCAGTTTGCCTCTCTATCTTTCTCTACTCTTTCCCTCTATTTTCTCTCGAAATTCTCTGAAATCACGCGCATCTCTTCATTTCTACTCTCTATTTGCCCTCTCTCTCATTTGCCCTCTCTCTGAGATCTCTCTTTCTTTTTCTCTCTCTCTCTGTCTCTCTCTGAGATCTCTTTTTCTCTTTCTCCCTCTCTCTCTCTCTGAGATCTCTCTTTCTCTCTCTCTTTCTCTCACTCTCTTCACCTGTTCACATCCTCTGGAATATCTGTCGCCTTCATTGCACGCTTAAACTTCTTATCAACAGTTGTGTGCTTATCTCCCCCCATTTTTTCGTCTCTGTTCTCCTCTCTTCCACACTCTCCAATCTTCCCCCCTGCCTGCTGTTTGCTTTATGCTTTGTGTGTGCGGGTGTGGTGTGTGTGTGTGTGTATGTGCGTATCGTATGCGTGTTTTGTGATGATGCCGTTAAACGTCGACAGTTGCAGGATGCGTTGCATGAATTTGACTTCCTCTCCGAAATGGAGTCACATCCAAACACGCTGCGCCGCATGCTGCACACACAGCAGTCACCCGGCTGGTCCATGGAGCAGTTGCAACTGGAGCAGGAGCTGCTAGCGACACTGCAGCAGGAGCAACAGCAGCAAACGGATCAACAGCAGATGCAGCAGAACACCGCAAATCGAATGGCAGCGCTGCACGTAATGCAGATAGAGACCATTATGCCCTTGCAAGAATCGCCAGCAACGCCGACCCCTGAACCGCAACCTGAACTAACCAAGAGTCGCCAGCAAACTGATCAAAACCACCAGCACAGGCAACAAAGCGCTAGCGAGCTCACCTTATCAATACGCAACCCGTTTCAGTTCCAGCTGCCCCCAAGGCCAACGACATTGCCACCCCCAGTGCCCACATCGGCTGTGGAACAGCAGCTGCATCGTCCAGTGTTAACGCTGCCTCCGGTGGTGATCCTGGGTGGTGATCCTGACGAGCCGAAGCCAGCGTCGCCACTGGTTGAGTATCCCGAGGATGATGATGAGTATGTGTACAGCGGTGGTCTGCAGTCCAGTCACAGTTCCAGTGCCGATCGTTTCTGTGTGGAGGTTAGGAGGTTTTTTCTTTCATTTGATTATCTCTTTTTGTTAATTTGTTTTGTCGGGCAATGGTTTGGTTTTATTTGTCCTTTAATTGCGTTTGGACTGCCGTTTGCAGCCATTTATGTGTTTTTATCCTATTGGTGTTTTACTTATTGTTATTCAATGTCAATGTTATTGTTACATGATCCGCTTGGCTTCAGCCTTTAAGCTGTTGTTATATTTCCTGAATTCCTACTCCAAATTCCTTGTATGCTAACCATTAACTGTTAACAGTATGTACATAGAAGCAACTCACACACGCACACATATAGACACTCACTTTTACACTCTGTAAAATAACATAACAGCAAGAGCAACAGCAACCGCGCATTAACAGCACACGTAGTTCAGCTAACAGCCCGTGTTATTAACAGCATCACAATATGCACCTGTAGTTTACCTAACAGCAACTGTTATTTAAATGTTACAAGAAAGTATTGCCACTAATTAGGCGCCAGTTGAAGAGCGCAGCTTTAACTGTATAAATTTGTTAACTCTAGTTTATATTTCTTATATAAGTATTAGAACCAAACGAAAGCTCTGAATATTGTACATATTGCGAAATATTTACATTCTCACATTTCATTTAATAAATATGAAATGATGAAGTGATGAAGTAGATGTCAAGAGTTGAAGTGTTAACCCAATTGAATACGAGACTAGCAGATACCCTCTAGTCACTCTTTCACTTTCCCATTCACTTCATACAATCGCCAAAGTTTTCTAATGTCTGTTAATAGAATTTGTAATTTATACAAAGTTAAACTCATTTTTTTCATAGCAAAACATGCTTAATTTGACTTTGTAGTCAAAATCACTCACTTCGCTAATATGGTCTGCTCTTAAGCACTGGCATATATCAAAGTTTATGTCGTAAATATAAATTTTGACAATTTAAAAGCAACTACCGCGGCGACACTTCAAGCTAAATAACGTGGTCAAAATGAAATGCTTAATGAGACGATTTGAGTGCTCGAAATAGACAAGTTTATATTGAAGCAGAGGCAGGCCAACAGCAACAAAAATCACTTCACGTGCCAGCAATAATGGTCTTTTCATTCGATGTGCCACGAGTCACCCTGTATATGTACTATGTGTGTGTTTCACTCTCTCTTTCTCTCATTCTCCACATTCTGTTGCTCTCTCTCTCTCTATCGCTCTCTGTCCTGCCCCCGCACACGTTGCATCCAAGCGAAACGTCAGCGTTTTTGTCTGTTTTTGTTTTGTTTTCCTTTTTAATGCGATTTAACGTTGTTTAAATATATATATAGTGGCCATATATATATATATATATTTGAGCTAAGTACATTTGCGCTTTACGAGTGGATTCTTTTTTAGCCTACATTTTCTTGGCAATTTTTAGACCTCTTGGCCTTTTGGTCATGACTTTGTCAATTGGACGCCTTCAGTTGTTTTTAGCCAATCGATCTATTGGCAATGGTTTGTTAGCGCCATGCTATTGCCAACATTTCAGACATTTGCGCAGCTAGTGCGTCAAATCTGTGCGTTGCAACAGCAACATCAACAGCAACAACAACATCAGCAGCAACATTTTCATCCATTATTGGCCTTGGCCAGTCCCATGCAACAACTGTTGCTGCCAGCAACAGCAACAGCAACAGCAACGGTAACAGGAACAACATCAACCACTGCACCTGTATGTGTTTTGTGTGTGTATATTTCTATGTGTGATTCACAAACTAGTTGAAGCTGCCCCCCCAACCGCATTTTAAAGTACAAATAGAAACTCTTGCAGGCTAGAATCAATCTTGTACACATTACCATCGAACCCATTGAGACAACAACACCAACAAACAGCAGTCGCAGCAACAGCAACATCAGCAGCAGCAGCTGCATTGTTATTGAGGATTCTGCCAAGGAGACAATAGCTATTGAAAGTGTTTTCATAGAAACGGTTGAGTGCGTTAAACCACTCGATGAGGTAAACGACGAGCAACAAGAACAATTCAACAAATTCAGAGCTTTCCAGTTGCACACCAAAACAAACAAAACTAACACATCCCTTTTACAAACTGGGGTATTTATATTAATCTGAATCTTTACATTTTGCTATCAGGTCATACCGCAGCTGGGTAAGCTTTATGTGAGCACACAGCAGCAGCAACAGCAGCAACAGCAACAACAGCAGCAGCAACAATTGCCCTATGTGCAGTCCTCGCCCATCATCCAGGAGCCGGCCACACCTACCATTTATGGCAATAGCGCTGCTGCCGGCGCACCACAATTTCCGCAGCCCACACAGCGACAGGACAAGCCACAACAACAGCAACAACCCATATATGCCAATCAATACGAGCTGAATGTGGCCAAGGCCACGGCAGCTGGTACAGCAGCTGCGGCTGCCTCCACTAGCGGACGTCGGAATGTGGCACGTGGCTTGCAGTATCGCGAACCCGGCTACGATTCGCAGCGTGCTGGTCAAGCACCATCCAATGCCGGCATGCTGTCCATGGACAATTTCCGGCTATTGAGCGTGCTGGGACGCGGGCACTTTGGCAAAGTGATATTGTCGCAGCTGCGCAGCAACAATCAATACTATGCCATCAAGGCGCTCAAGAAGGGCGACATCATTGCGCGCGACGAGGTCGAATCGCTGCTCAGCGAGAAGCGCATCTTTGAGGTGGCCAATGCCATGCGTCATCCGTTCTTAGTCAATTTGTATTCGTGCTTCCAAACAGACGTGAGTAGTCTCGTAACTAAATTACTCAACTTGGATTATATAACCCAACTTATTGTTTGTTTAATTTAGCAACATGTCTGCTTTGTGATGGAATATGCTGCCGGCGGTGATCTGATGATGCACATCCACACCGATGTCTTCTTGGAGCCACGCGCTGTCTTCTATGCGGCGTGTGTGGTCCTGGGTCTGCAGTATCTGCACGAGAACAAGATCATCTATCGCGATTTGAAGCTGGACAACTTACTGCTCGATACGGATGGTTATGTGAAGATCGCCGATTTTGGTCTGTGCAAGGAGGGCATGGGCTTTGGCGATCGCACCGGCACCTTCTGCGGCACACCCGAATTCCTCGCGCCCGAGGTGCTAACCGAGACATCGTACACACGTGCCGTTGACTGGTGGGGACTCGGTGTGCTCATCTTTGAGATGCTCGTCGGCGAGGTAAGTGAATGATTGACTGCTGCATGAATTGCATGCTAATTGCCATGAGTTTTGCAGTCACCCTTTCCTGGCGACGATGAGGAGGAAGTCTTTGATTCAATTGTTAACGATGAGGTGCGCTATCCGCGTTTCCTCTCACTGGAGGCCATAGCCGTTATGCGTCGGGTAAGTTATTGGAATAAACAATTGAATTAATCCTAATTGAATTAATTAATATTTGTGGTTATTTTTCAATCACGTGCAGCTGCTGCGTAAGAATCCGGAGCGACGTCTGGGCTCATCGGAGCGCGATGCGGAGGATGTTAAGAAACAGGCATTCTTCCGTTCCATCGTTTGGGATGACCTGTTGCTGCGCAAGGTCAAGCCACCATTTGTACCCACAATTGTAAGTCTTGCAACCGACAGCTACAACAAATATAATTTATGGTAGCTAAACTCGTTTGATTTGCGTTTTGCAGAACCATTTGGAGGATGTCTCGAACTTTGATGAGGAGTTCACGTCGGAGAAGGCGCATCTGACGCCGCCAAAGGAGCCGCGACACCTGTCCGACGACGAACAGTTGCTCTTCCAGGACTTTTCATACACGGCCGAGTGGTGTTAATCCCGCTCATTATTCTTAATGGATCCCAGGGCCCTGGGCCTAGCTCAGTTAAATAAGTTGTATAATGCTTTTACACATGTGCAGCGATTTGTTTAGCCACATGAATCGAAGGATATACCCCGATACATATATACTATATATATTTGCAAACCGTGTGCATGTTTTGCTCAGAAGCATTAACCAAATTGCCTAGAATATTCTACATTCATGTAAAACTTGGATCATCAATCATACATACATCATATACAGTCAGTCATCATCGATTTTCCAGAGCTGCTAAAATTGATATATAGTACACACATTATCTCATTATCATTATCATTATCATTGTACAGCATATGAACATTTAAGAAAGTAGTATTTTATTTCGATTGCTTTATCCTAAATCAAATATTGAATAGTCTGACGAACCTTTGGAAAGCCTTAAACATAAATGTTGTAGATTTTTTGGACAGATTTTTTTCAGAAGCCCGGTTCTATATTTTATAGATGATTGTTGAAATATTGAAGAAAAAAGATAAGAACCATATTTATACACAGCTATTTTACAAGCGCCAGTAGATGAGTTTAAGGGCAATAACAGAAACATACATAAACAGAATAACAAATAGAAAAACACTTGCATATTTTCATATTAAACATACAAATCACATTCAAAATGTTGAGAGAACAAATGAAAAAAGTCATAATATTGTATGCACTCTAATAAATTATAGGTAGATACATATAGACATACATAAAATACATATAAGAACGATTAAACGAGCTCATACATACATACATTTATACATAACACACATACAATAACAACAACAACAAAAACAATAACAACAACAAAATATTTACAATTTTAAAACTGTATATTTTTTTCAAGTTCAGTCAACTCCTCAGCCCATTGCCCGAGTTGAAATATTATATTAGTTATAAATGCTTATACATTTGTTATTTATTATTGTACTTTAAAACAAAAACGAAAAGAAAACACAAACATAAAAACTGTATTGCTTTGAGCATTTTTTGAATTTTTTTAAACATTTTAATTCAATTTCTTATTGAAAATGATTGTTTGTATGCGGCGCACGCTTTAAAAAAAAAACAAAAACAAAACAAGAAAGAAAACATGAACCTCTGACAGGAGAAATGTATGAGAAATGCCCAACAAGAAAATTTATTAGTGGTATTCTCATCAATTGCATGCAATCAGATTGTTAATACACTTAAGATATATATTGTATATTTAGTGTTATTTTTAATTTTGTAGCTAAGTTATAGTATTCGATAATTGAAATTTAGGTATAAGTTACACAATAATGTCATGATAATTATATTACGATTATTGATTACAACTATGATTATAAATATGAATATGATTACGATTATAATTATGATTACGCACGCGCCCAATGCAGCGAGTTCTATTGTCATTTATTATGTGCATAGTCCTCAGGCAACACTTAGGATCGTTTGAAATTGTAGTTGATGAACATCGAGCAGCTAATTTGCCAACATGCTAAAGCATTGATTTGCCCAGCCTATGGGGCTATGCACATAATTGTTATTTATGCAACTATGATATGATTTTTTAATAAATGTATCTATCGCTATTAAATGAGTGGTGTTTTAATTAGTTTGGATTTTTTAAAAATGTTTTCTAGAGTTGCTTTGCTTACATTTATTTGTTTATTCAGTCATTGAATTTACTTCTTCATAGCAGTAAGAGCAATGACCGGCTATTTATTTAAATTTAAATGAAAAATAAAAATAAGAAATATAAGATTTCTGGGGGCAATGCAAAGTCGTTCAACATTTGTTGACTGGATTGGGTAAACCAGAAAAATAAAAATCAGACCAAAAAAAATTAGTATGAATTGGTAAAACCCCACAAGAAATGCATGAGACTTATTGCTACAGCTACGCGATCCTTAACTGAGCAAAACTAGAGTCAATAGCACAATAATGAAAAAATTCTCTTTCGCTCTGCTTTGCTCTCTCATTTGCAATAGCAATATCAATTAGTAGTATTGTCCTCTCTGTAGTATCAATAGCAGAAAGAACTGCTATTGCTATAGCAATCGCATATTCGTGTTGATCTTTTGTAGCAGTAGCAATAGCAAAGCGCAAAACAACAAAGTTTTGTAGCAATTTTAATCATTGCTTTATTCTATTTATTTTTTAAAAATTATTTTTCACAAAATCCTTCTGTTATTTGGTAGTACAATATATTGCCTGTATTATCAATAATTGCCACATAGATATGGCTGGGTCTCAGTTGCTGTTGCATCGTCTTAACCAGCTCAAAGTCGATGTCCTTGGAGTGTGGCAAGGGTATAAAAGCCACCGGCTGATCCTTGGCCTTTTGCGCGCTCAAATAAAGCACGCCGCAATTGTTCTCAAACTGTGGCTGAATGTTGCTGAGACGCTCATCTATTAAAATATAGATCACTTATAATTTCAGCATACATTTAAGATTTTTTATAATTATTTTTAGTTTATTTACCTTTTGATAAATCCTTGTAAACTAAATTGGCCACAGCGGTTGTCAAAGCACTCAAATTAGGGCAAATAGTTTCCAAATTCTGCAAATATTCCACAATTTCTGAGCATACTGTTTGAAAGCAACTGCCTTATGACTTACCATAGCTGCAAAACTTTGAACGTTGTTAAAGTTTTGCTAACATTCATGTTAGTTACAAATTTGTGTATAATTGACAAATATTTGTTGCATTTCGTACACAAAAAAGCCGCATCAGCTGAGCACAGAAGCAAATGAACAGCTGTTTTATGCGCTGTAGACGTCACAATTGACTAAACAACGTCAGTGTCAGTGCTGTATAACATTTAAGCTTTGCGGCATTTTCAAATCTTGAGTTTAGTCTTGTGGACTTTGAGATTTTAATTAGTCATAGCCATCGTATTCTGACGTAGATTAAAATTATATGCTCAAATATTATTTATTACTAAGCTAAATTATTGACCGATGGTTTTTATAGGAGCTATAAGACATAGTGCCAAACATATTACTATATAGAACATAGTCTTGTCGCATAGAAAATAAAATACCAAAGCGAAAATTGCTAAAACTTTATGTCGAATAAATATTTGATAGACATCGGATAGTGCTATAACTTTAAAACTGCTTAAAGCATTTCAATGGGGCAAATAAATTTCAATTGCTGTCTATAAAAAAGTTGAAAAACCAGACATAGTCTTTGTCTCAACTAACTGCGCATCTTGGCCACTTGACACTTGACTGCCCGCCTCCCACTCAAGGTAAAGGAAAAGCAACGCAGACGTTGCAGACAACAACAGCAACACGAAGAGGCAGCAGACAAGACAACAAATTATGCTAAATAGATGCAGTTAGCTCGAGAGAGAATGGGCCACGATATGCATGCAAAGCAGTTATGCCAAAGACAAAAAAAAAGAAGCAAAACCGAAGAAGAAGAAGAAGAAGAAAAGGACTGCCTTGATGTCCTTGTGTGTGTCCCGGGAGCTTGTGCATGTGATAAGGGTTTGGCAGCCAGCGATTTGCACATGTGCCCCAGCAGCATATTAATCTGAGTACGATGCGCGGGGGGTGGGGGGCGTCTCCGCCTTATCTGCACTTGTGTGTGACGATAAGTAAGTTTGTGGCACAGACAGGCAGACAGACAGGCAGGCTGGCAGGCAAGAATGCAAAGTCTATGCAGATTAGGGCTTCGAAGCTCACAACTGTCATAGAGTTAATGTGTCAGTGTAGCTGCAGCGTGCCGTGTTCCAGCTGGGAAGCTATTCAATTAGGCGCTCGACTACCTGCAACTGAAATTGAAACTAAAAGCCGGACCAAGACAAGGGACCAGGGCTAACTAAACCAAATGTTGCGGTCGATGGCCATTATTGAGCTTGTCAATAGCAGTGCAAGGAATTGGAGTCGAAGTGGTATTGGTCTCGGCAGTGGGAGTAGCGGGCACAGTCTGGCCAATTACTGTGGCAAACATGGCTGGCTTACGACAAACGATATAGAACAACAGTTATTACAATTACTCACACACACACAGCAGACCAGAGCAGAGCAGAGCAGAGAGTGCGTACGTGCGGTTACTTAATGCTGTTTGGCCAAGCAAGGCTGCTGCGTGTTGTCCTTAGTCGCTTCCTGAGCACATAACTGAGAGTAAGAGTCGAGAGCTGAGTCCGGTTCCTGGGCCGGGGACATGTGCGTGCGTGCAGTTAAGCATATTATTATTTGCACTTGCTGCTCGCTTATCCAACCACGCAGATACATATATATATATATATATATATATATATATACATATATATACACTGTATATAAGCACACACATAGCAAATTTGTGTTGGTCAGTTGGATGAACTCGTCGTCATAACCATTTCAGAAGCCAAAATGTGAACGTTTATGACTCTCTGTTGATTGTATGTGACTGTGTGTGTGTGTGTGTGTGCGTGTGTGTGTGTGTGTGTGTGTGTGTGTGTGTGTGTGTGTGTGTGTGTGTGTGTGCATGTGTGTGTGTGTGTGTGTGCGTGTTTGTGTGTGTCTGCAACATTCAATTACGTGGCAATGATACGAGCTGAAAGGCACAGACTAAGAGTGGAGTTGGCAAACGAAAAGCAAAAACTATTTGAAAGCTCTAAAAGTACATTAAAGCTTTTTAATTTGCACTTGTGAAAGAATCAATCACTTTGAGCTGCTAAAAACCTAAAGCTCATGTTTTATAATTATTCTTTCTCTATACGCTCTTAACTATTGTATTTTTGTTAATTGAAAATATTTCTATTTCCTTATTTATAAAATAGACGGTTAATAAGAAAATTTGAAAATTGCTAGTGCTAAATTATAAGAGCAAATTGAAATGTATTACTCTGTGCAAGGTGTAAATTGGAATTATTTGAGTAAATGCTATTTTAAGGGTATTGATCGAATTTAAGTTAAAATCATTGCTGAAGCTAAAGCTTTCAATGTTCTCAAAAACTAACAATTAAGTTCCAAGAATTCAAATAGTTTAAATCAGCTTTCAACGCCAGCTGCACACATAAATTAAATTAGAGTAACTAACTTAAAGCAACTGCAGCTATTAAAATTGATTCAATAAAGCTAACTCTATGCAAAACTGTAGCTAAGTGCGCCTAAAGCTACAAAAAATTGTACAATAAAAAAAAATGCAAATTTATATTACTCTACTTCTAAACGGACTTTCGACTCGTATCATTAGCATATTGTTTTCGTTTTTATGGATTTTTCTTTAATTAAAAATGCAGTGACTCAATAAACTTTAATGGCACGCTAATAACTGTGCTACACTTTTTGCCAGCGCCGCAATTCCACCTGTGCGAGCAAAGACAATAAGGGTCATTTGGCTGGTTAACTGTCTGCTGCTCCCATTGGAGCACATGGCACACATGGCCACTTAGCATATTTGCAGCCATTTGCCTCTCACACAAATAGTGGAATATTTGTATGTGTGTGTGTGTGTGTTGGTCTGTTGGTGGGTGAACAGTTGCAAGCTGACACGTGGTTTTGTTTTGGACACTGTGAGGCATGCCGCGGGGAGACTTTTAATTGAACTTTTTGCAACAACACCGCGGGGATCAATTGAGATTTATTGGCAGAACGTGTCACTGTGGCTCGGTTCCCATACCCTTCCAAGGGATCCTACAATTTTGTCATCAAGTTTGCAAGCGCATTGAAGGAGGCGTGTTCGACAAAACAATGTAAATATATTCTAGATCGGCATTACCAATCGCGTCGATATAGCCATCTGACCTGTGTCTATTTGTGTATAATTTATTTCATCAGTTTCACATTTATGTTGATAAAACTTGGAATATATCCGTCCTGTTTCTTATCGGTTCACAGCTTCCTCAGTAACAAACTCTAAAATATATGATTCAGAGATAAAAAGTCTTTTTTAGCAAGGTTTTCAGACCCAACTCACTTTATTCTTTTCTTGCAATTATTGTTTATAGTTTAAAACGCCCAGCTTTATTTATTTTTAATTTTTTTTATTAATTATTTATTTTTACATTATTTACTTTGAACTTTCATAATAAATATAGTCTTAAATTTGTATTTTTATAAACATTTTTAAACCTATTTTTAGTCCACATTAAATAAAATAAAAAATAAAACAAAAAATATTGAAATATGATTGTTATTAATTATTTGCTCTTATTGTTAAGTCCACAGGCGACCTGTAAGAGTATGTCGTCTTCGGTGTGCCCAGGATAGTTGTCCTTTCTTGATTTATTTTTATTTTTGCGCAGTGGCTGTGACTCCGAATGTGGTTCGCTGGCAAATTACGAGCAGTAAGCAAGCAATTAATGTTTTATTTAATTTACACACAACGACAGAACTTGACTGCGAACTCGTTAAGCATATGGCTAACACACACACACAAACACACACACAACTGTCTGAAAAATATAGCTTGCAAAATGTTTTAATGTCATTTGCAATTTAGAATTGCCTAATTTCGCCACAGCAGCTGCAGAAACTTTTTGCTGGCATATTTTGCGCTTGACTTGATGTGGCTGCTGCATTTAATGTGCCACACATTTGTATCGAGAGAAAGTTATTCAATTTGTACAACTAACGGCAGCAGCTCATGAAATTCCATTTCTACAACTTTAATGACAATTTAAGCGCCTCTAATGACTTAATGGCTTTTGGCTTTCGTCCTTGCCCGTTATCCGTTGTCCGTTGTCCTTTGTCCGTTGTCTGGCTGAGCGTCAAAATGATTTTGCCGCATCATTGGCAATGCAATTAACTATTCCACCAAGAGCTAGTCCAGTCGTCCTGGGTAATTAGAAGCCACCAGCAAGCCATTGACTCAGTTACTTGGCGGTTTCGACTTACGCGTTTTTGTCTACCTCCCATTTTTCAGTTGCTTTTGCGTTTAATGGATTTGTATGACTGTGCGCGAAATTTCATTAAAACTCGATAATTGCATGACACGACAGGATTTTTGGTGCCACATGCAACTTTTGCTTATCGAACTGTCAGTCAGTCAGTCAGACCCACAGTCAGACATTGTCTTTTGTCTCCCTTCAGTTGGGCGGATGAAGTCTGCAATTGATTTAATTATACGATTCCTCCCATTGCAAGTGATTTTAGTCGATTTCATTTCGGTTCGTTTCGATGCGTTTCAAATCGGCCCCAAGCAATTTATTTGGCTGCCAATGCCATTTTAATTACATTGCAAATGCGTTTCATTTTGAACCGAGTATTAATTATTATGTGATTATTTTGAGTTACTTGAGTGATGTAGAATGAAAACTTTATTGACTTTAAGTAACCAAATTTATGAACTGGAATGTTATTAAAAACTCATTGAAGATTTGTAAGATTCTTTTAATTGTAAGTGAATATATATTTTCTTTAATTTTGTTTTTTTTTTTTGTTTTTCATTAAAATTTTCTTAGATGGTGAAAAATTAAATGTGAGTAAATTGAAATATAAGATAGAAAACAATAAAAACAATATAAGAATGGATTGAATATGTATTTGTTATATTATATATTTGTTATCGGCCTTATTCAAAGTTAAAAATGAAATATATAAAATGCCATTTGAAATTTATTTACAGACAAGTTGCCAAAACATAATAAATTTAGCATTTTGTATTAAGCGATGGACATGAAATTTAATTAAGCATGTTTGACCATTTTTGTTGATTAAAGCAAATGTCATGCATATAATATGCATTTCTATGGAAAGTTGAGCTAATCCTTCAGAATTTTCACATTCATCCGTTTCAAAGAGATAATTCAGCTGAGTAATTGGATTGATTGTCATAATGTAAATGATTTCTACAGCAGATGCATCAGTTTTGTTTATTTGCAAAAGGCAAGTATAAATTGAAATGTGTATTTTGGGAAGATGCTATAATTATTAGCCTTATTGGTTTATTGACATTGCGCACTTTCGGCACCAAATCCTTGCAAATTGAATTTGTGTGTTGTGGCAAACATGTATAAACATGTTCATGTCCACGTGAATGCATGTGTGTGTGTGTGTGTGAGTGTGTGAGTGTCTGAGAAAATATTCAGCTTGAGTGCGTTGAAGCAAGCGACAGGAAAATGTATTCGTAGCAACAACAGCTGACAACAAAAATGTGGAGTATGCAACAAATTATACAGATAATGCGGCACAATTGAATTTACAGTATTTCAACGTTGCACAAATGCACAAGGCAAGCAGCGATAGCAGCATCAGCAGCAGCAGCAGCAGCAACAGTAACAACTATTGTCAATTGTAATAACAACAACACCGGCTTTCATTTTCCACTTGACTAGAGTTGAGCGCCCCTGTTTCAGCTGCACGTTTCGCATTTCAGCAAGTAGCAAGTAGCAAGTAGAAACAAGCAAGTAGAAACAAGCAAGTGGAAAGTGGAAGTGGCAAGTGGCAGACAAGAACTCAGCCAGACAGCATTATGTGTGCGGCATTCAATTGTTGTGTCCTGGGTGCCCGAATGTGTCCAGTGCAAAGCAAAAATTTATCAGGCACCCGGAAATGGTGCACGAAGCAGCCACAAGGCACGAGGGCTGCTGCCACTTGCCACAGAATTCATTTACGTAATTAGTGGCCAAGGATGTCAGGCCAAAGCCACCGGCGCTCGTTTATGTGGTGACCGCAATGCAAGTGCTCAAATCACCGCAATGCCTCTGCTGCTTCATCCTCATCCCCTCGTCCATTTTCTATTCCTGCACAATTTATTGCCTGCTTCTTGGGGCGCTGCGTCGAATGCAATACAGATTGATGCGGCTGCTTATGTAGCGCCACAATGACAGTGATCGAAATTGCAAACATATTTTGGCTTAATATCCTGCAGCTAATGTGAGCGAGAGAAGGATAGCTTCGAGCTTTTAATACCAAAGTATCTCGAGTGTTTTTTAATTATTTTTTAAAGTGAACAAAAAACCAAAAAAGGTTTTAAAAATATGTATTAATTAAAGTTACAAATCAAATTAAAATGTGAACAGAAAAATATAATAAAAATGGAAGCAAAAATCCCCGAAGGAAAGTAAAATCTTAAGGAATGGGAGAGACAACGAAACAGAGAAATATATATCTCACTTTCTCTATATAGAAAGAGTTATAGAGAAAATAATTAAAAATTGGCAAAATCTTTGAACCTGTGGCGTAAGATTTCCGGAAATGTTTTTTGCAACTGTTTGATGGATACGTTGTAGCAGGCCACTAGTGTAGTAAGTCTAAGACTGTAACATAACATCTGTAAATTAACTGCAACTTTGTATTTAACATAAAATATCGATATCGATCGATATCATTTGTCTGAAAGAAATATAGTTTAGTTTTGACTGCTACAATATGAAAAACAATAATTTACTTCTTCAATGGTAGATAAGATTGCACTTAAAACTGCTTAAAGTATTTTCTTACTGCCAAAAATAACAAATACAATTTTAATCTTTTTGAACTGTTTTGTAAGTCAACTAAAATTGGCAATGTATGCGAAAAAATACTTGTCTATAATTAGTATTAACATTTACTAACCAATCACTTTTTGACTGCGACTATATATGAAATTGGTGACTTTTAAGATCTATTTTTATCGTGTCGTATATTTTTTTATGGTTTACTGTATTGTGTATGCTGCAATTTGTTATTTGATTATGCTTAATATTAACAATTGCTAAACGATCAATCTTAGACTTTAACTATAAATGGACATTAAGCTTTAAAAGCGGCTTGTAATTTCTAAAATCTACTTTTACAGTTTCTCATGTATTAAATTTTATATTATTATATTTTATATTAAACTTAATGTTATTATTTTATTTCCGGCTAATGTCACTGTGGCTGCAACTGATTTGTATAAATAGGTTGTACATTATTCAGTCTTGTAATTTATTGATTAACTTGTTAAGTGCAATTTTGTGTTGTTTGCCTTGACTGCCGCAGATGTTGAGAAGATAACGTTGCATTGTCTAAGGATTCATTACACACGAACTGCACAAACATGCGTGGCTGTGAGTGATTGTGTACGTGTGTGTGTTCGTTTGTGTGTGTGCGTACGTGTGTGTGTGTGTTTATTGCGTAGCTGATCAAATGTGGCAGCCGCAAGCAAAGCAAACTTCATTTGTTGCGTTTGCCAAGAGGGAAAAACGAAATGCGCGCAATTTTGAGCGCTGCTACGTGCAAGCTACAAGGTTATGACACACACACACACACACACATACACAGGCACGCGCGCGCACACACACACACACAGAGGCATGGCGAAAAGCGAAAGCAGCAGCCAGCAGGAAAAACGCAGAAGCAAATCAAAACAAAAACACACGCGATTTACCGGCAAAATGCACGTGACAGCAGCAGCAGCAGAAGCAGAATCAGAAGCAGCAGCAGCAGGACCAGCATTAGGCAGACAGACAGATGGCCAGGGGAGCAGAGGGGCAGAGGAGCAGACACAGGCAGGCGACGAGCATCGTCAGAGCTCGTGTAATCACTTCGTTCAGTTGCCGATCTGCTGCGCCGAATCCAACGATGCTGGTCAAAGGACTATAAAAGGACGCATCGCATACGTAGCGACGCATTTTGTCAGCAGCCTCAGTTTCAAGCAGCAGTGGGAAAAATAAAACTCTTGAGCATTACACGAGCGAAAAATCTAAAGTGAAAACAAAAGTGGAAAACTTAAAGCACAAAGTGACTTGGCATATTGCCTAAAAATTCAGATACACAGATACACACGTGTGTGTGTGTGTGTGTGTGCTGCTGCAGTTGGCCATTGTGGATTTCTATTTTTGCGCCATTGTAGACAGCGTGTGAAGTGTTTGTCGTTGTGGTAATAAAATCACCATTACTGTTGTTGCTGTTATTGTTGCACGTAACTGTAGCTGGCATTGAGCGACGGCAACAACAGCGCAGCAAAACTTTAAACTGCAGCCTGTGTGTGGCTTAAAGTCGAAACCAGAAAACCAAAGCAAATATCGAGAAACGAAAAAATTAAACCAAACAAGTCCTTGCCACGAAGCACACGAAAGTTTCGAGTGTTTTTTGGCTCAATGTCAGTGAATTGATTGGCACACATTGATCGTGTTGTGCACGAGAGTGTGAGTGTGTGAGTGTGTTGGCTTATAACAAATAGTTAACAACATTGACACTTTTTTTTATCTTTTGGGGACCAACATGTGGTCCTTGCTACGTATGCGCCATAAGCCACTGTGGGCTTTAATATCCTTGACGATATTACTGCTGGTGTTGGATAAGAGCCAGGCCAACACAGAACCGCCAGCCGTCGAGACCACAACAACAACGGAGCCAGGTAAGTTAACAACTTGCATGACCTTCATTTGCTCAGGCTCAGCGGCGATGTTGTGCCATAATAAATATGGCCCAAAATGGCACTCGGCCCTTATGGCCTGTTAGAATGATAGCCGCGCTGGCTCAGTTATTGATGCTGAAGCGGAGCCGTCCACTTTGCTAAATGACTTTCGTGCTCTAAACCGATAATCACTCGCTCACACACACGCACACACACACACATACACACACACAGAGTAATAAACTTGCAATCACGCAATTCAATATAAAAAATGATCTTTTGTACATAACGAAGTCTAAATATCCTTATTGAATTGCAAACTTAATTTGTTTTATACAATATACTTATCAAATTTGGGATATATTTTCATTAGGTTGGCATCCGCATCAGTTAAAAGTTAAAGTTAAAAGGATATACGAAATAAATCTTTTATCTTTTTATCTTTTCTTATCGAAACGTTGGGTGGTCCTCCTGGTATCTGAATTCATATTAAACTATTTTTTCTGATCGGAATTTTGTTATTGACTTTATATCACCTTTGCTATAAATAGTAACCATTTTGATAAGAAAATTATTTCATATGTATTGTACATTGTACTTATTCACGAATGTTGAGAATTCCTCCTGCTATCCAGCATGTGAATTCATATAAAATTATTTTTTCTTATCAGAATTTTGTTATTGACTTTATATCACTTTTGCTATGGTTAGTATTTTGATAAGAAAATTATTTTATATGTATTGTGCATTGTACTTATTCAGATTGTAGTTCAGTTTATCAACAGTCTGATATAGTATTTTATTGTAGAGAGATTAGTGATTTTATTGTAGAAAGCTACGTAATATTTTGATTTTCTTTAATACCCACCAGGTCGATCCATTTAAACTTCCACATAACATACCAAACTAGACTGCACTATAAAGATTACTTGAAATTGAAAAAATGTATAGCACAAAGGACTTACTACTAAAAGCAAACTAACAAATTGAAAATACATTCTCTTATACAACGATTTTTTATTGCCAGCAAACTTTTGCGATTTTGTGCTACAAATATATTGACAAAGTAAAAATACCTGAAGCTTAATACAGTTAACCGAGTTATTTGAAAACAAAGCGAATGGAAACCAATGGCAAAGCGTTCAGCAAATAACTCGCAGTAAATGAAATATTTCACGTTATCAGCGTTGACTGTAGCTAACCACCCACTCAATACTCAATACACACACCCACCACACCCCAGCACACACACACACACTCACCTTCTCAATCACAGCAGCACAACGTTATGGCGCAAGGGCAATCAAAACGAGGCCTGCTGGCCAAACCTTAATCCCAATCAGAGTCAACACACAACACACAACACACACTCACAACGCAACAGCAAAAATAGAGAGAAAAAAGGTAGCGAGATTGAATGAAAGCATTTAATGAAGTATGGCAGCGACTGAGGGCTGCTTAATAGATATTAATAGCAGGCTGGGGTTGGTATAAACGCCAAATAAGGGGTTCAAGCTCTTTGAATGGTTTGAGTGCCAAAAATGCTCGGCATTGCGACTGCTGTCGCACGCAATTTGTTACGCAAAACCAGATGCGCATAAAGTAATTAATTTTTTACCCTGTTTTACCCACTCGAAATGGCTAAGACGGGCATGTTGAAGCTGTGCCAATGCCAATGTGTGCACACACACTGGAAAAAGGGGATACTTGACAAACAAATAAGCAGAGACAAAAGGAGATTTCTTTGACACCATTTGGCCATTTATAAGATAATCTGACACGTTATGAGATCTACAAAAATAATCTTTTGAGAGTCATCAAAATAAATACGAATGTTCTTAATCTCTCTATCTAATCACTTTTGGGATAACTTCTAGCACTCTCTGAACCGCTTGAATGCTGAGGGATAACAAATTTATTCTGAAGGAAAAATCTCGAGGAAAAATTGAGATGATGACTTGTAAAATAAAATTTGGTTAACCATCTGAACTGATCGCAGAGAAAAAATGCCTTCTGGAAGAAAATTAGAAATGTTTTATACTACTAACGAAAATGTTAGCTTAAGCAACGAAATTTTAAATCAGGATTATGATTTTAAAAATTTAATTGAATATCTTTATTTATTCTGGAGTCAATTGTATCTGGAAGGTTATCTGCTCCACTCTGTTTATTAATATTTATCTCTGTGTATTTGAAACAACGAATGCATGCTGTGGCTTGCTAATGGATATCTCCTAGTTGGTCACTCACGCGCACGAGCTCCCTTGTCTGTGTTTTTTTTCCTATCTGATGAGCTTGCCGAATGCTGTCGTTGATGATCTCATTCCCAAAAAAAAAAAGAAAAAAAAGATTGCGACGCAGTTGATTTTCGTTACGACGTAACGCGAAGCGGTCAATTGCGCAGTCTGTGCGATGCCATAAAATTGAGTTGAGTGTACATAGTTCTTTTTTGGCTGCATGTTGATACAGGTGTTGTTGCTGGGTTAGTTGACTTTTTGTGGCGGCAGCAGCTGCAGCAGTTGCAGCCAGCACTTTCCCTTTCGCCCATCCAAAGTATTTGTCCATCACAAATACAAGCGCCAATGCACACACATTGCAGTAGCAACTGGAATTTAATTTGCATGAAGGGCGCCCAACTCGAATCACATTGCCAAATGGCATTTTTGCCCCAGGGAGTCGGGAAAATGAAAGAAAAGCGCAGCTAGCTGGAATCTGCAATAAGCCAAATGGCAACTAAAAATGTCGTTCAATTTCTGTGCCATAAATCTTAAAGCAATTTTTGTTGTTGCCGCTTCCCCGTTGATGACGAAGAGGAGCATGTTGATAATCATAATGATGACGATGATGATGATGACAATGATGCTGTGTATTACATGCAGTGAAATCCAGCTGGTCTGCTTCTGGTCCTGCTGCCATCCTATTCCTGGCTGCCATGCATTACGCATGCAAGTGGTATAGCCGAGTAACGAACTGTCAAAATCAAAAGCGACAAATGCACAAAAAAAAAAATGAATAAATGGCTAAAAGTCGTCCAAGACAGAAAACCACCACTTCCCGCAAGCATCCTGCTGCTCAGTCCCTAGATTCTAAAGCCCGGCGTCAGTCCCTGGCATATTATGTGCAATGTATGCGTTAAAAGATAAAGATGACTACAATCCCTGCAGCGACTTGGCTTCAGTTCTCTATTTCCCTATTCCAGCTTCGACTCTGGCGTATTCGTGTTTTGCATAAAGACAGTGCCAGACTTGTTCATTGTGGCAAAACTGCTTTTGCTTCGCTGTGCATGAATGATTTATAGAACAACTGTGCTGCTCCCCAGCAGTGGGCCATTGCCAGCGTTTATCAGCCTAAAGTACTTTGTGCTGACTACAGACTGTTTAAAAGTTCTTCATCATACTGCCAACCTAAATATATACTGCCTTGAAATTTAACAAATTATTGTTAGATTTTCATAGAGTTACTATATCGAAGTCTGAGGTCTTTATACTCACACAAAATTTAATATTTGGAAGATGTAGCTTTTGACCTTGGAAATTCGAAACGGGAAATAGCCCGGAAATACCTTAGACTACACAGAACCAAATTAACTTTTGGAGCAAAGCAGACGGTAATTTACACGAAAACACAAAAAAAAAAAAAAAAAAAAAAAACCTTATTGTTCATTGGATGATTTGCAAAAATGTACTAAATTAATAAACTCAATTTAGTGACTAATTACGCTTAACTAGTTTCACTTTTATGTCGTTGCGAGAACGCAATGTGATGCCCACGTTGAAACCCAAATCCTTTGGATCGACAAGTGGCAATACTTTGAACTGCTTGAGGATCACAATCAGCAGTGTCTTCATTTCCAGCATGGCATACTTTTGACCTATAGATGATGTAAAATAAGTTAAAGTTGTCCAAATGATATGTTCGTAAACTTTACCTATGCAATTGCGTTGTCCAGCGCTGAAGGGAACATAGGCAAAGGGGTGACGATCCTTGCTGTTTTCGGGCAGAAATCGTTCGGGTTGAAACTCTTCGGGTGAAGTCCAGTATTTGGGATTACGATGCAGCGCAAAGATATGAACAGTGATGTTACAGCCAGCTGGTAGTATTAAGCCATTAGCCAGCTCCGTTTCCCGAACTGCTTTACGACTTATTATGGGAACCGAGGGAAACATGCGTAAAGTTTCCTTCACAAAGCACTCCAAATACTTCAGTTTCGATAGCTGATTAATATCCAAGTTGCTGAAGTCATCTGGAGAAATATAGGGTTTATATTGGTGGAAAGCTTTTGTCAATGATGACTCTTACCAGCTATATGTTCGTTTATCTCCTGATAGCAGAGCTCCTGTTTGTCCGCATATAAGGACATGTTCATAAGTCCGAATTTAAGACCGATGGATGTGGTATCGAATCCTGCAAACATGAGAGTGTCCACTTCCTCGCAAATGCCCTCATGGTCAATTAATCCATCTTTTTCTGCCAAGATGAGCGTATCCAGCATGGCAAAGCGTTGCTTCTTCTTAATGTAACTGAAGTTGAGCAGTTAATTTAGCTATCCATTCAGATATATAGTTTCTTATCAGTTTTACTTACATATCATCATCAGCATCTTGAACGTTTTTATTGTCCTTGAGCAGCTCTTCTAGCATTATACGGCGCTTGGCTATAATCTCACTAGAGAATTCATGCACTCCGTCGAGGAAGGGCGCATCCTTCCTGGCCCCAAACAGATTATAAAGCGTATCACTCCAAAAAATGGGATTACTCAGACGCCTGACAAATGTTTTCTCAATCATGCTAAAATTTACGCGATACGTATCACCTTTGGCAGCCATATCATCCAGTTTAACGCCCATGGCAGTCTCTGAGGGTTGATAAATTCAAGTTTACAGTCAACTCACAGTCTGACAGACTTACCACAAATACTGTTCAATGTGAATCTGGGAATGAGCTCACTTAGAGAGATAGAAATCTCAGATTGACCCTCAAACTGCTTCACAAACTTTAGACTTTCCACTCTATTAAACGAAGATAATTGAAATCTGTTTACATTTAATGTTAAAATATGAGCAACTCACTTGAAAATCTCTTCAAATTGTCCCAAGATATTAAAATGGAAAGTGGGCGTTAACATCTTGCGTCTCGTATGCCATATCTTATCTGTTATTTCAAAGTTATTTTTTTTTATATTTTTTATATATAGATCGATTTACCTGTCGATATCAACAGTCCAGTGCGTAAAGCTGGTTTTAGAAACTCATAGACCAGACCTTTGGTTATTAGATTCTGATCAGTTAAAATCAGTTCAGCGCTCTCCGCATCGATAATATTGTATGCGGCGATACCCATGGCATATTCCAAATAACTGCGTCCGATTTGTTTATTCTTGGCGAGCAATACATCAAATACATCAGCTATAGGAATACAATTTTACATTAAGTTATTTTTAGGAATAATAATTCGCTTTTACCCACCAATGCCTTTGCCATACATATCAAAGCTGTTTCCAAATATTGTGCGTCCCTTGGAAACCGCAGCAATGCTCTCTATGGGACGACCATCATTGGTGCGTATTCGCTTTGCAAAGAATGCCAAGACATAGTAATCCTTGTTGATTCTATATAGCCAGAAGATTAATGTGCCCAGACCGATTAACAGCAACAAACACAATCCCATTTTACGACCGCTCTATTCAACTGCTACTCAGAGACTAACCTATGAAATTATTATACAATTATTGGAGCGTATTTAGACTTTAACTGTAGCCATTATCAGAGACAAAAGATAAGATAGTACATGCGTGAGTATACTCTGCGTTGAAACCAGTCTAACAGAGATAAGCATTTATAAAATTATTTTGTTTATTTTTAAAAACTGTTGCTAATTAGATGTATTGATTGTTTAATTAACTGTTTATTATTTTTATTGTTCATTATTTTTTCACTTATGTTTCGTGAGTTAGTTTAGATTATACATCTTTTTATATTATTTTGAAAGTTGGCTTTATTTTAAATGATTTGTTGAAAAAAAGCAACGAAAAAATATATTTAAACAATTTATGAAAGCAGGTTGCAGGTTTCATGCGCAATTTTGAGTGTTGACCTCATTCGGATTTTATAGTCGGTCGGATAGTCGGACTAGGAGAAACGACTTGAGTACAGCCTGTAAAGCCACCAAAAAACGGCTGAAAGTTGTGGTGTAGCGCAGATGAATCAATTTGTCTCAAGAGTATGTCAGACGATTTGAAGAAATAATTTATCTGCAGAAATCCGCTCGAAACTGGGAGGGCAGTCGACAAATGCAGCAGTCTTTGAAATGTCGCGTGGTCTGCTAGGATCTTTGCTTTTTTTTTATTTATTTATTGTTATTTAATTAATTCATTATTTTATTTGCTTTTGATGAATGGTATTTCTTAATTTGTAGAATTAAATTTAGAAAAACGAACAATTAAACGCAGTTTCTGATTTTGGACTATCTTTATTATGCACGGGTGTGTCTTTACTTTGTTGCATTTGCAGACATATCGATAGGCAATTATCGTATACCACCACCAAAAGTGAAATTTAAAGGGCCACATTGCTGAAAAGGGGAAGCAAGTTGGCAGAGTCAGCAAGATCAGCGTTGCATGTAGCGGCATTTTTCGCAAGGTGGCGTGTTGTGGGTTATGGAGAATGAACACATGTGAAAAAAACGCAGTGAGGGCAGGTCATGTTCCGTAGCGCGTAGATTTTTATGCCGTGCAAGCAAAGGTTGAAGTACCTTTAGGAGTGCACTAACCCTCCGTTATTCTTTAGGCTTTGTGGAATCAAATTCGGCGTGGGCAAATCCACCATCTTCTAATATTGGCAGCGCGCATGCGCACTGACGGCGTATCTCTTCAGCTAGCGAGTGCGTTCCAGTATGGAATTAGTGCCATCAGGATAGGAAAAGCCTTCAGTAACGAAAGTCGCGTAGTTCGAGCGCAGTAAACTTAATCGAACCCAGAATTTATACTAAAACACAAAGTAAAAAAAGAAAAGAGAAACATATGTCAAAAAAATCAAATCCACGCCCTGTCGAGTGCAAGTCGACTGCGCGCATGTGATCAGTGCCAAACCCAAAATCAGCGCCCAGGGCGCAGTGCTCCAGCGCATCCATTCCTCCTTCAGTATATTTATGTAAATGTTGAATGTAGGCAATTATCTATGTATTTGAATGTTATGTTAAGCAAAATTGAAAAGCTATTCGTTATTTATGTTCATATATTTATCTATTCACGTATCTATTATTAATTTAAATTTCTAAGTACCGTGTTTTTCAACAAAATCCGGCGTCCGGATTTTTGCCAAATTGGGGAAACAATTTTTGCACGAAGCCCCCATACACCGAATACTTATATTGGAGCTCTAATAGGGTAGGATAGGGATTGAGGGCAAGATTCCCGATTTAAATTCAAAATTGAATAGCCGTTGCAGCATGCAACGCTACCTAGCGGCGTATTTTGTAATTACTATATTATACCATATAATGTTTGTTAATAAATTGTAAGGAAATAACGATGATCTGTGAGTAAGTTAAATAGAGGGGAGAATCGCCGGGAGCATGGAATAAATTAGTCGTCAACTCCAATTTAAGGGCGATGGGCAAAAAATGGCAGCGGCCCATTGCAGGAAGGGCGGGTCGCCTTTAGGAGGGGCGGGTACGTCGTGGCCATAAACACCAGGCCCGTCAGCTGTTTCGTTTGTTTTGTGTGTGCATGTAGGTCTTTATGTAGTGTTGTGTAGGTCGAGTTTTTTTTTGGAGTCTGTACCGTCCACGGACAGGTTTGGAGTTACCCACCTCTGGGAATAACTGAGCTAGCCGAGGTTGCCCACTGAAACACTGGATGTGTTACAACTTGTTGGAGAATTGAGAGTAACTTTTCTGAACTTAGGAAAATACAACGCAGAAACGTGTGACCAGATCTATACTAATCGATTTTTTAATTTTATTTAAAAATTATTTTTTTTTTTTTTATTTTAAATTTTTTTTTTTTTTTTTTTTAAATATTAATTTTTTAAAAAAAAAAAAAAAAAAAAAAATATTTTTTAAAAAAATATTTTTTTTTTTTTTTTTTTTTTTTTTTTTTTTTTTTTATTTTAAATTTGAAGTTTTTTTTTTAATCCCCGACTTGGTTTTCCTGGCCGGGGTTCGTGGTTGGTTTGGTTTTCCCCCCCCCTTCTTCTTCCCCTTTTTCGGTGGTTTGTAGGTTGTAGGGGGCCTCGCGCCCCCCCCGGCGGGGGTTACCCCTCCGGGGGTTTTGTTGTTCTTCTCCCGGGGGGGCCCCCTCCCTACGCTGCTGGGGGGGTCCCTCAACTCTGCAACGTAGTCGTCTTTGCCAATTTCTAATTTAATAATTATTTAACTGGGTGACTGCAAAAATTTTCTTTTATGGAATTTTTTTATAAACATTTTTTTGAGTTATTAAAATTTACGTTCTGCAATGTCAAGCAAAAAAAGAAAATCAATGTCAGTGGGATTAGCGCACAATGCAATTCATATTTTTTTTTTAAGACAGTAACAGAATCAAATAGACGGTAGGAAAACCCAAAGCGGAAACGCCCAAGAAAATAAACTTTCTTATAACTTGACTCATAGAGGACGTTGGCCAAAGCTCAGCTTCATCTAAAAAAAAAAAATAGCAAAGCTTATGGCATATAAATGCATTATTTTATTGGGTCAATCGCATTACATTAGATAACAGCAATTTGGTTTGTTATTGCTGTAATTATTTATGGAGTATGCTTTACATTGTATTTAATATGCAATAAAGTGCTGAATGACTAAAAATATACTCGTTGGCTTTGAAAACAGTCTCTGCCAGTAGACAAAACCTGTTCCCACTGCAGTTAATAGATCATTTACCTTATACTATAACTTATTAAAAATGGATCCGTCTGTCCCTCTGTCCATATGTATGAGCAAGTCGATCTCAGAGAACAAGTTACAGACCAATAACTATTCTCATATTGACAATCGTACTATCAGCATGAGCAAGCATTCTCTATTTATATAAATATGTATGTGCATATGTGAGAGTCGACATGAGCGAAAATATTTTTAAGTAGTTTCTTTTTTTCGATTTAGTGTCTATTTACGCTTAACTAATTTCACTTTAATATTGTTTTTGCAACTAAGTGTGATGCCGACGCTAAAAGCAAATTCCTTTTTATCGACAAGTGGCAATACTTTATACAGCTTGAGGATCACAATCAGCAGTGTCTTCATTTCCAGCATGGCATACTTTTGACCTATAGATAATGTAAAATAAGTTAAAGTTGTCCAAACGATATGTTCGTAAACTTTACCTATGCAATTGCGTTGTCCAGCGCTGAAGGGAACATAGGCAAAGGTGTGACGATCCTTGCTGTTTTCGGGAAGAAATCGTTCGGGTTGAAACTCTTCGGGTGAAGCCCAGTATTTGGGATTACGATGCAGCGCGAAGACATGAATCGTGATGTTGCAGCCAGCTGGTAGTATTAAGCCATTAGCCAGCTCCGTTTCTCGAATTGCTCTACGACCCATGAAGGGAACCGAGGGAAACATGCGTAAAGTTTCCTTCACAAAGCACTCCAAATACTTAAGTTTCGATAGCTGATTAATATCCAAGTTGCTGAAGTCATCTGGGGATATAGGGTTTATATTGGTAGAAAGCTTTTGTCAATGACGACTCTTACCAGCTATATGTTCGTTTATCTCCTGATAGCAGAGCTCCTGTTTGTCCGCATATAAGGACATGTTCATAAGTCCGAATATAAGACCGATGGATGTGGTATCGAAGCCCTCAAACATGAGAGTGTCCACTTCCTCGCAAATGCCCTCATGGTCAATTAATCCATCTTTTTCTGCCAAGATGAGCGTATCCAGCATGGCAAAGCGTTGCTTCTTCTTAATGTAACTGAAGTTGAGCAGTTAATTTAGTTATCCATTCAGATATATAGTTTCTTATCAGTTTCACTTACATATCATCATCAGCATTTTGAACGTTTTTATTGTCCTTGAGCAGCTCTTCTAGCATTATACGGCGCTTGGCTATAATCTCACTAGAGAATTCATGCACTCCGTCGAGGAAGGGCACATCCTTCCTGGCCCCAAACAGATTATAAAGCGTATTATTCCAAAAAATGGGATTGCTCAGACGCCTGACAAATGTTTTCTCAATCATGCTAATATTCACGCGATACGTATCACCTTTGGCAGCCATATCATCCAGTTTAACGCCCATGGCAGTCTCTGAGGGTTGATAAATTCAAGTTTACAGTCAACTCACAGTCTGACAGACTTACCACAAATACTGTTCAATGTGAATCTGGGAATGAGCTCACTTAGAGAGATAGAAATCTCAGCTTGACCCTCAAACTGCTTCACAAACTTTAGACTTTCCACTCTATTAAACGAAGATAATTGAAATCTGTTTACATTTAATGTTAAAATATGAGCAACTCACTTGAAAATCTCTTCAAATTGCGTCAAGATATTAAAATGGAAAGTGGGCGTTAACATCTTGCGTCTCGTATGCCATTTCTTATCTGCGATTCATAAACTCAATTTTAATATTATTTTTTCTTAAATTTTTATATACAGAACGTTTTACCTGTTGATGTTAGTAGACCAGTGCGTACAGCTGGATGTAAAAATTCATAGACCAGACTTTTGGATATTAGACTCGGATCATTTAAAATTAGTTCGACGTTCTCCGCATCGATAATGTTATATACGGTTACACCCATGGCATATGCCAGATAACTGCGACCTATTTGCTTAGCCCTATTGCTCATTACCTCAAATACCTCAGCTACAGGAAGAAAATTTAATATTTAGTTGTGTCTCTTTAACTGAAATTGATGCGATTTTACCCACCATCGCTTTTGCCAGACAGATCAAAGCTGTTCCCAAATATTGTGCGTCCCTTGGCAACCGGAGCAATGCTCTCTAAGGGACGACCATCATTGGTGCGTACTCGCCTTGCGAAGAATGCCAAGACATAGTAATCCTTGTTGATTCTATATAGCCAGAAGATTAATGTGCCCAGACCGATTAACAGCAACAAACACAATCCCATTTTACGACCGCTCTATTCAACGGCTCCTCAGAGACTGACCTATGAAATTATTATAAAATTATTGGAGCGTACTTAGAACTTAACACTTGACATTATCAGAAACAAACGAAACGATTGTACTCTGCGTTGCATCCAGTCTAACAGAGAGATAAGAATTTATAAAATTATAATCTCTCTATTTTTATAAACTGTGGCTTATTTGTTTTTTTAATTAACTGTTAATTATTTTTATTGTTCATTATTTTTTCACTTATTGTTCGCGGCTTTGCATAACACTGGTGGAACTTATTCACTTATGTTAACAATACTTGTAATTTAGTAAAACATCGATAGTTCACTATCGAATTAGCCCAAGTTGTAATAAGAACTAGAACAAGTAACGCGCGCGCCTTTGTGTAAGAAAAATAAAGTGTTAATTAAAATAGTTAAATACCGCCCAGACTTGAAACTTGGTTTTATTTTAAATGATTTGTTGGAAAAAAAGCAACGCAAAAATATATTTAAACAATTTATGAAAGCAGGTTGCTGGTTTCATGCGCAATTTTCAGTGTTGACCTCATTCGGATTTTATAGTCGGTCGGATAGTCGGATTAGGAGAAACGACTTGAGTGCAACCTGTAAGTTGCGGTGTAGTGGAGATGAATCAATTTGTCTCTGTTTATCATTTTATTTTTTTTATTTAATTAATTTATTATTTTAGTTGTTGCTGATGACTGGTTTATCGTATTTTGTAGAATTAATTGAATTAATAATTATTTAATTGGGTTGCTGCAAAATTTTCCTCTATGGAAAAACATTCTTTTTTTTTTTTTTGGAAATTTTTGTACATATTAAAATTGAAGTTCTCCATTCGTGCCACGAGGTCAAGCAAAAGAAAACAAAATCAATGTCAATGGGATTAGCGCAAAATGCAATTTTTTTTAAGACCTTGACTCATAGAGGACGTTGGCCAAAGCTCGGCGTTATCTAAAAAAAAAATAGCAAAGCTTGTGGCATATAAATAAATTAATTTATTGGGTCAATCGCATTACATTAGATAACAGCAATTTGGTTTGTTATTGCTGTAATTATTTATGGAGTATGCTTTACATATTATTTAATATGAAATAAAGTGCTGAAATACTAAGAAATATACTCGTTGGCTTTGAAAACAGTATCTGCCAGTAGACAAAACCTGTTCCCACCGCAGTTAATAGATCAGTTACCTTATACTATAACTTATTAAAAATGAATCTGTCTGTCCCTCTGTCCATATGTTTGAGCAAATCGATCTCAGAGAACAAGTTACAGTCCAATAAACATTCTCATATTGAGAATCGTACTATCAGCATGACCAAGCATTCTCTATTTATATAAATATGTGTATATGTGGGAGTCGAAGTGAGCGTAAGTATTTTTAAATATATATTTTTACTCTTCAAGACCTGTTTACAATTTAAATGCGTTTATAAAGATAAGTTTGGCAATAAAGATCACATATGTTTTAATCACTTTAATATACTTAACCCCTAGATTCAGACTAACTGGCTATAAGCTGTAATAAATTCCAAAACTATTTCTTAATAATTTATGTTTAAAAACATAAGCTTTACATTCACACACTTAGTATTAAGGCAACCTAATAGAGAACAATCGAGTTTGTTCCTAAGATTCCAAATTACTAACTTTGAGTTGCTGTTTTTATGGATTTATTGTCTAACGCTTAACTAGTTTCACTTTAATGTTGTTTTGACAACGCAATGTGATGCCCACGTTAAAGACCAAATCCTTTGGATCGACAAGTGGCAATACTTTATACAGCTTGAGGATCACAATCAGCAGTGTCTTCATTTCCAGCATGGCATACTTTTGACCTATAGATAATGTAAAATAAGTTAAAGTTGTCCAAACGATATGTTCGTAAACTTTACCTATGCAATTGCGTTGTCCAGCGCTGAAGGGAACATAGGCAAAGATGTGACGATCCTTGCTGTTTTCGGGCAGAAATCGTTCGGGTTGAAACTCTTCGGGTGAAGTCCAGTATTTGGGGTTGCGATGCAGATCAAAGATACGAAGAGTGATGTTGCAGCCAGCTGGCAGTATTAAGCCATTAGCCAGCTCCGTTTCTCGAACTGCTGTACGACCTATGGAGGGAACCGAGGGAAACATGCGTAAAGTTTCCTTCACAAAGCACTCCAAATACTTAAGTTTCGATATCTGATTACTATCCAAGTTGCTAAAGTCATCTGGAGAAATATAGGGTTTATATTGGTGGAAAGTTTTGGTTAATGATGACTCTTACCAGCTATATGTTCGTTTATCTCCTGATAGCAGAGCTCCTGTTTGTCCGCATATAAGGACATGTTCATAAGTCCGAATATAAGACCGATGGATGTGGTATCGAATCCTGCAAACATGAGAGAGTCCACTTCCTCGCAAATGCCCTCATGGTCAATTAATCCATCTTTTTCTGCCAAGATAAGCGTATCCAGCATGGCAAAGCGTTGCTTCTTCTTAATGTAACTGAAGTTGAGCAGTTAATTTAGTTATCCATTCAGATATATAGTTTCTTATCAGTTTCACTTACATATCATCATCAGCATCTTGAACGTTTTTATTGTCCTTGAGCAGCTCTTCTAGCATTATACGGCGCTTGGCTATAATCTCACTAGAGAATTCATGCACTCCGTCGAGGAAGGGCGCATCCTTCCTGGCCCCAAACAGATTGTAAAGCGTATTATTCCAAAAAATGGGATTACTCATACGCCTGATAAATGCTTTCTCAATCATGCTAAAATTTATGCGATACGTATCACCTTTGGCAGCCATATCATCCAGTTTAACGCCCATGGCAGTCTCTGAGGGTTGATAAATTCAAGTTTACAGTCAACTCTCTGTCTGACAGACTTACCACAAATACTGTTCAATGTGAATCTGGGAATGAGCTCACTTAGAGAGATAGAAATCTCAGATTGACCCTCAAACTGCTTCACAAACTTTAGACTTTCCACTCTATTAAAGGAAGATAATTGAAATCTGTTTACATTTAATGTTAAAATATGAGCAACTCACTTGAAAATCTCTTCAAATTGTCCCAAGATATTAAAATGGAAAGTGGGCGTTAACATCTTGCGTCTCGTATGCCATTTCTTATCTGCGATTCATAAACTCAATTTGAATTTTAGTTTTTCTTAAATTTTTAAATGCGGTTTACCTGTCGATGTCAGTAGACCAGTGCGTAAAGCTGGATGTACAAGCTCATAGACCAGACTTTTGGATATTAGACTGTGATCATTTAAAATCAGTTCAACGTTCTCCGCATCGATAATATTGTATATGGCCGTACCCATGAAATATGCCAGATAACTGCGACCTATTTGCTTAGCCCTATTGCTCATTACCTCAAATACCTCAGCTACAGGAAGAAAATTGAATATTTAGTTGTGTGTCTTTAACTGAAACTGATGCGATTTTACCCACCATCGCTTTTGCCATACAGATCAAAGCTGTTCCCAAATATTGTGCGTCCCTTGGCAACCGGAACAATGCTCTCTAAGGGACGACCATCATTGGTGCGTACTCGCCTTGCGAAGAATGCCAAGACATAGTAATCCTTGTTGATTCTATATAGCCAGAAGATTAATGTGCCCAGACCGATTAACAGCAACAAACACAATCCCATTTCACGACCGCTCTATTCAACTGCTACTCAGAGACTGGTCTATGAAATTATTACAGGATTCTTACGGCGCACTCATGGACTTTAGATCAAAATTTATATACCATATTAAGCAGGTTTTGTTGCACTCATAATAAAGTAGATTAGATATGTAATTACCGTACAGGGCAATTGCTTATACTATATACGTTGTAATATGAGCTGCAGTGCTGAAATATTACTAAAAAATCTGTAGCTTGTAAAACGCAATCTACAATCAGTTAGCAAATCTTATCGCGAAGTCGCTTTTTTACTTTGACTTCTTACATTTAAAATGTTTTATTGCGAAATAAAAGAAACATGCTCTCTAAGTTAATATTTTGTTCTATTTATCAGAACTTATAATCATGGGTATTTAATTTTCAAAATTTTTTTTAGCAGCAATAATAATACTCAGAAGAATAAGCAATATCAAATATCAATAAGTGATTCTGATTCGCTTGTCGCTTATCATTTATAAAGCGCAATTTAAGTTGCTGTATTTAATTTGAATAATTTTTTGTTTTATTTTATTACTACGCAGACTAGCTATTATTAAAAGCATTACAGTCATGTCTAATTAAGTGAGCTGCATTTAAGGGTTCGCACTTTGAGAGACTGTTGCTGACAACACTTTGCTTTGTTCTGCTTTGCGTTTGCATTTGCTTCTGGCTAATTGGCAATTGAATTACATAAATTAAGAGCGTCGAATGCAATTTATCCTCTTTACATTATAGTTGACCCACTTTTGTTAGTCTCGGACAGCGGAAAATAAATAAAGCCCTATAAAAAAACCAAATAATAATGATATAGTCGTGTATACTCGACTACGAGATACCCTGAACCCAGCTGTAGCTGTAAATTTTATAGTTTCATCCTTTTAAAAAGATTTGCACACTCAAATGTAAGCATGCGTGGAAGTACTCTCATTTCTTATGGTACTGAAGTGTAAGAAGAAACTAAGGCAACTAACTTAATCTAAGCGTGGTAAATGAGAACTTATATTCTAAATTTGAAGTCGCTAAACTGCAATTGGTAGTGTTTCACCTGCATTTTCCATATTGGCTGAGTAGATTAATAAGATAGTGATTACTATGCACTAGTTTATAAGTACGCTGTCGGATTAGAGCCTTAGAATCCTATGAATATGTCTATGTTTTATACATGTAGTGGTTTATAAGAAAATGCACATTCAATTTTATTTCCTGTATCATCTGGCATCAGGCAAGAGGTGCACATTGATAGTCTTTGCACTTTCAACTAGTATCATGAAATAATCACAAATGTCAACTGCAGAACTTAATTAGCCCAATTTTAGCACATTTCTCTGAGAGTCGGGTATACAAATATGCTTAAAGGGAAAATACTTTAATGCAGAGGAAGGCAATAATGTCACTTGGTGTAGTTGTTTCAACCTTCAACTCGACTTCTATAAAATGGGAAATGGAAAATAGAAAATGGAAAATGCTTACATGACTTTGCTCATTGAAAATTGCAAACTTGTGCGCTCGTGTGTGTTGTGTGTAATGTTGGTGTATGCGTGTGTGTGTGTGTGTGTGTGTGTGTGAATGTGAGTGTTTGTATGTGTGAGCACGCTATGCTTTGCGGAAATGCCAAATGCCAATGGATATTGGAAATTTGCAATTTCGATTGCACTTCAAAGTCAGTCAAAGTTGCCAAGTTATTAAATTAGATCATATATGAAATATTTATGGCAAAAGTTCCAGCTACTTCAAAAACACACTCTAACCCCCTCTTCTCCCCCCCTCTCTCGCTTTTTCTCTCTATCTCTTCCGGTCTATTAGTCACTTCTGACTCACTCTTTCTCGTTTGCTTTCTCATTTTTGTCGTGCAGATGCATCGCCTGGTTGCCGGGCGCCGGATGTTCGCTTCACCATTGTCAAACCGGAAATGACAACGGAGCAGCCGTATGCGAAGTTTGAGACAACACAGGTCTATCTACCGGAGGACTTTACCACCGCCGATGTGGAGTTTGTCGATAAAATGCATGCGGCCAAGGAGAATCATGCGGCCATTGTAAATCCCTATTCGGTTGACTTTGGCGATGATGACACCCATCATGGCCATGATCTGCATGCCGGAGATGCGGCTGCAAGTCTAGTGGACGACACAGATATTGATGATGAGCAGGACGAGCTGCATGGCGCCGAATTAGATGATGCAGCCCGCAAGCGTCTCAATGCCAATCGCAAACAGGGCAGAAAGCATCGCACCGGCTCCGGCCGTCGTCGTCGCCTGGAGAATGAGAATGGCCAGACAGGACGTGGGCGTGGCAGTCGCTATAAGCGTCATGCTATACTGCACGATGTGGATGCCTCCCCGGACACGGATCGCTGGGCTGGCAGCAAATTGGCCGCCGAGGGAGATGTTTACTATGTGCACATTGCGGACATACTGAAATCGAGGGAACCGAATCGCCAGCTGCGCGCCAAGCTGCATCGGCTGAAGCAGAAGGCACGCCTGAGCAAATGCCTTGTGGATGGCAGCAGCGAGAAGTGCATTAAGCTTTTGGCTAAGCTCAAGGCCAAGCAGGCGGAGCAGCAACATTTGGATAAGCAGCCAGCGCAGCATCTGGATGAGCAGCCAGAGAAGAAACTGGATATGGATTTGGAAGTGGAAGTGGAGCAGCAGCAGCAGCAGGATCATCATCGTCGACGCGGTGACAGTCACGCTGCTGAGCTCGACCAGCGTGACTTGGAACCGCGTCCCTGGCATCGACGTCGTCGCAGCAGCAGCAGCAGCAGCAATAACAGCAGCAGCAGCAGCAGCAACATTAGCATCAGCAACATCGATGCCAAAGGCGATGATGGCCAGCTTGAGGTGGATGCCAAAGTTGGCAATCAGTCGAGCAGTGCAGCAGTGGCCCTGCAACGTGTAAAGCGCAAGTCGGGCAAGACCACGGGTGCACTGAGCCGTCCAAAGGGTGGCGGCGATTCCAGCTCTAAGACCACCAGCCGCAAGGATAAGGGTAAGCATTTCAAGCATTTACATAGCGGCCAGACACTGGCATCGCCACAGTGCCCATGACAAATTATTGTATTGAATTGAAAGCCGCTGTCGCTGTCTCGTTGTCTGTCTGTCCGTCTGTGTTATGCTCTTCCACACACCCACAAAAGCAGACAAACACACACACACACACATACACACATACACACAAGACACCTGGAGTGTTGAGAGTGGAGTACACAGCAAAAGAAAAAAGAAAAAAAAAGGAGAAGAAAAAAAAAAAAGAAATACATAGTTGCATACATAAATCGTTAAAAGCTAATCACAGTGTGAAGTCCCATGGCTTCAACCTGGAGTCAGCCATAAATCGCCTCAATTCGCCCTCATGTTCAGCTCTCATTAACATGCTTCATGCTGGCACATCTATTGCTCTATCTTAACTCAAAACAGCACCACTGCATCACATTTCTCTCTACTACTCTAAAAAAAAAAACATCGTTCTTTGTCGTGGCTTGCTCTGTCCTCTGTTGGTTCCTGCCACTTTGGATAATATGATTTATTTGTTTCCCTTTTTATACCCTTGCAGAGGGCCTTACGCATTTCTTAAGAATTAAACTTGATCACCATTTACTACTAATACTAACTTCTTTTTATTTTTGTTCCGATTAGGTTTGTTCTGTGCTTGCCACACTCCATGCAACAAATGTCGGACACCCAGAAATCTTATAAAGTCTTCTTTTGTTTTTAATTGATATTTAAATATTAATGTTTTATTTGTTGCTTAGTAAATATAAATTTAAAAATAAATTTATGTTTATGTTTGAATATGTTTTCCAAAATGTTTCCTAATTTTTATTAATTTCTCATTACGTGCCTAGAATATATATAAACAAAATTTATATTTACATGCAAGGGAATTAAAACTTCGATAACACTCAGAAAGTGGCTTTCTTGTTTTTTATGCCTTTTCATTTCTTTATTTTTTTCTGCCTTTACTTTTTTTTTTTGGCGGACTGCTTCCTCTTTGTGCCGTCCTTTTGTTTACTTTGGTTCAGCTATTTTTGTCCGTTTGCGTTTTTCTATTAGCCTGGATGCTTGGGATCGGGGTCTGGGCACCGGACTCTGGGTTCTGGATTCAGGGTTCTGGCTTTGGTTACTTGGGCACTTGGGTCTATCACCGAGCTCGACTTGTGCTCGCATAATATTATCTTTCATGTTATCTTTTGCCTTTACACTTTGGTTTTTTTCTTGGTTATTTTTTTTTTGACGCCTCGTTCAGAAATGAAGTTGTATCCTGTTAAGTGGCCACCATCACCACCACTTGCCTATCCCTTACATATCTCTGTCTCCCTGTCTATCTGTGCTTGTCCCACTCCATTTCCGTGGTGCTTTTAATGCATATCTAACAACCTTAAGTTGGCCCATTGAAGTTCTAGCTGGCAGCACTTTTCGCACGTTTCGTGCGGCTCTGCGGTTTAATGTGTGTGCTCAAGAGTTGATGCTGCTTCTACGTCGTCGTCTTCTTCTTAGCCATCTTTTGCGGGACAGCTTTTAACGCACTGGCAGTTTTCTAAAGGCTTTGCCAAGATGTTGGCCACTTCAGCATTGAAAGCTCTTGGCATCTGATAACAGCAAGAAGTGGGTGGTTGTGGGGGTCCATAACTCGTTGACTCGTTGAGCATTCAAAGCTCATATACACGCGCATTCATTCATTCATTCACCTGTCTCTCGTCTCGTTCCTCAAATCGGTCATCACAACAACAGCTCATTAGTTGCTTGCTCTACTTGCTCTCTCTCTCTCTCTCTCTCTCTCTTTCACTATTCTCCCGTCTATCTCTCTCTCTCTCTCTCTCTATCTCACAGTCAAATCCCCTTTTCCTTTTTCTTAGCATTTTACATTTGCCCATTTCATAACGCCCTCACCTATTCTGTTCCGATTTCGCCCCAATTAGGCATCTATGATGAGGAGACCGGCTACTCACCAATGCACACCGACGACTCCGAATTCGACGAGGATGAGGAGGAGGATGAGGAGATTGATATATTGCAGCAGTTTACCGAAGTATCAGAGATACGTTTCCCAGGTGAAATTGGACCCATGGGCGATCGGCGACTCTGCAAGATACGTTGTGTCAAGGGCAAGTGGGTGGGGCCGCTGTGTGCCACCAATGAGGAGGGTAAGTGAGCCACCCTCGCAACATACAAGCAAACACCTACACAAATACACACACACACACATACACACACACACATCAATACGCACACAATGGAATGTTAATTATACAATAGCAATACGAATACAATATACGAATACGTAACATGTCATTACAGTAGAGACTCGTATAATAAAGACAACACAATCAGCACACTAAAATAGCAGCACCAGCAACAATCCAGTTGTTTCATTTCAACATCTTTCTCTCTTTCTTTTGGTATAACTATATGTGTGTCTATTACTGCGTTTATGCCACAGAATTCATGAAATCATTTTGCAGCATTAATAAATAATACAAACATTTAGAAATATACGCTAAATAATCTTTCATAATTAATTGCGAATTGCGAACAAATTAAATATTATTGTATTAAATTCAAAATGTTTCAAAATTGTTAAAGCGAGAAAATTCCCCAAAAGTACTCACAAAGTGTTTATTTTCTATTCACTGATTTAAATTATTCAAATCAATATTTTGTGCCACGCAGAAGCAAACAAGACGAGTTGTGCCGAAATTTAAGAATTTGTTCATTGAGTTTAAATAAAATGCATAAATTGCTTAAAATGGTGTTTCATGAATTAATTGTTGCAAAGATTTGTGCAAGCATAAATGCAGTATATGCCATGAAATGTAACATTTATCTGAGTGTGTAACAATGCTGATCTCTGTGACATCTTTATCTGTAGATGACAACGGCAACGTGAAGTTTCAGCCACTCTACAAGAGCTGCCATGTCAATCGCATTCCGACTCATCTGCTGCTCAGCTATCGCAACATCTCCGTGGTAAGTGATGACAGGCAGCAAAAGCCGTCAGCCGTGCCAGGAGCTGAAAACCACCACCACTACATGCAGCACCACACAGCGCGCACACACACACACAGCCCGCAAAAACACACAGCACACATACAAGGCACCCACTTAATACTCACCAACACTGGCACACACAGATATATACACACACACACACACGAACACACACAGCAATAACTCCATGCAAGCTATTGAAGGCATTGCCCTTGGCATAGCCAAATGTGAGTCCAACTCAATTTCGACTGCGTCCTGTCTCTGTCTCTCTTTCCCTGTCTCTCGCTCTCGCTCTTGCTCTATCTCTCTCTCTCTCTCTCTATATATATATATATATATGTATAAGTCTCTTGTCTCGCTCAATTTCTCCATCATCTTTTGTATCGATATCAGCCGCACAAACAACAACAATTTGCCCAGCGTCATCCTAGCAAAAAATAAAAATAAATAAATCAAATAAAAATAAAAATAAAACCAACTTTGCATCCTGCATCCGCATCTGCTCTGTGCAGCACAAGACTCTGTATTTTTGGTACTCTTTGATCTCTCTCTCTTGCAGACACCGATACCACCAAATCGCGGCTGGCGTAAAACGCGCTTATCCAAATCGACACTTGTCTCAAACACAGAAATTGTGAGTGGTCATCCTTGACGCTACGTAATCGTCATCGTCGTCGTCATACATATATACTTGTACCTCGTATCCGTATCTATGCATATTGCTCACATATGTAGTCAAACACAACATCTAGTCGAACAAAAGCACGCACACACACATACACACACACCACACTCAGAAAAATAATGAGTGTAATTTTATTGATAATATTATATCGTAGCAATCAAATAATATTAAATGAAAATTAATGACAAACTAGAAAAATGTTCAGGTCGTTAGAAAAATTTTCTAAATATACGGAAAATCTTTCTGCAAAGCCATTATTTTCAGAAAAAGGTTTATCTAGAATTCATAAATAAATTATAAATATTAATCTCTCGTTAGCAATGTTGAATTTTAAAACACTAAATGTTTAGAAAAATGTAACCTTTAAGAAAGGAACAAATTTGGTTTGTAGAAAGACACAGTTTTCTGTTGCATTATTTACTAAAATTCAAGGCGATTTACTTGCTGAGTGTAGCATATGAGTACTCATAACGAATCTCAATCCAGATCCCAAATATTTGTAAAGTGTTATATATATATACAGATTGAGTATTGTGTCTATCAGGAGATGTAGGTGGTCATTAAGGATACAAGATTGAGAAACCCAAAGAACACTTTGCTTTCTTGTAGAAAATTAGGTTGACAAACAAGCTTAATTTGGCTGTTAAGGAAGTACGAAAGATACAACAGAAACAATAATATTAGTAAGATTAATGTCCAACTACTTTTACTCAGCGTAAATACACGTAAGCACACACACGCACACAGTCACACCCACACACCCCCACACACACACACACACTTACAAAGTAGTTTCGGCCCAAGTAGTGGGTCAAATTATCGCTTTTCACAATGACAATTTTCTATGCACGACTTTAGCATTGACCACTGAGCAGCGTCAACGACACAAACAAACAAACACACATACGTACACACACACACACACACACAGACACACACACACACCTGCACGCATACACACACCGAATCGAAGGATACATTTACAGCTAATTACACCGATAACACCACAGACACTATGGAAACTGCACGTCCAGCACGCCCAGGCCACGCCCACGAGCAGAGAGTGCGCCTCGAACTTGTGTTAACAGCTTGTAATTAAGTCTAAACCGAATCTCTTTTGTACTTTCTCTCTCTCTCTCTCTCTCTCTCTCTCTCTCTTTAACCAACTTTATTTTGGTATTTCTCACGCACTGCACGCAAAAATAAAAATAAAAAATAAATAATACTTTAACTTCATTTCCAATGCCTGAAACTTTGCCACTCGCCTGTTACCCGTGGCCCTTTGCCCATTGCCCATTGCCTCATTGGCCCCAATCCAAAACACATTCCACATATTTCCACATTACTGCTGCCTGCTGCCTGCTGCAGAACGTCGGCTGGGATCTGCCGCATGGCCACTCGCTGCAGGCACGCTGCCAGGAGCTGGGCATCTACAAGCTGCTGGGTGAGTCGCGTGTACTATGCTCCAATGGCCTCTGGGCGCCACGCATGCCCAGCTGTGTGCCAACCACCGTGCTGACCAATTACTCGGAGGACAGTGCACCCTCCATACGCGTCAAGATCTTCAACGGTTCGCACTCCTTCGAGCCATCCGGCGTGATGGCTGTGCCGCCGCACAGCACTGTTCAAATGGATTGCATGTATCCGCGTGTCCGTGGCACTCCCGAATGGAGCTGGACCAGCTGGTATATGCAGTATACGACAGGTGAGATTCTTTTTCTTATATATGAAAGAAGGTGTCGAACTTTCAAGTTTGCATGTAGTATTAATATAGATGCCAGGAACTTGAAATTGGGCCAAACGTCGTCCAGACTCTGGCAATAAAGTAGATTCAGCTTAAAGCAGTCAAAAGACTAATTGGGACTTTCCTATTTAGTTTAAGCAGTATTCTACTTATTTATTACTATACTCTTGAAGTGGATGTTACAATTTAGTTTTGAAGTTTGCAATTGACGGAGATATGTCCAACCCCACAAAGTATATATGTTCTTGATCAGCATCACTTGACGAGTCGATATAGCCATATCAATCGGTCCAAACTTTGTAGTCTTCTCCCACAGTTTAAAAGCTATTTCGATGAATCTTGATATATATCCGTATTTTTGCTTATAAAACGAATATGAGAAAAAGAACATTTGTTTAAAACAAAAAGTCATATTCAACTTTAAAAGGTATGCAATTTTCGGTGTGCCTAAGACAGCCGTTCTATTATTTCTTTTTGTACTTATAAAGTAACTTTTTACTTCTAACAAGGAAAGCTAGTAGGACCATTTAAGTGGCTTAAGGAATAAATGTAAATTGTTTCTAACCATTTTCGTTTAACCTTTTCGCTTGCAGGATGGTCGCCTGCCGGCGAGGAGAAGGCTGTAAGATATCGCTTGAGCATCAAGAATATTGAGAACAATGATTCGGGCACCTTTACATGTACTTCGCCGCGCGGTTTGACGAACAGCATTGCAGTGGTGGTGGCCACTTCGACGTGCCCGCAGCTAACGGAACCGATGGCGCCGCTCAGGCTGCGGCTCGAGGGCAATAAGTTGGGCCAGCGAGCGCACTATGAGTGCCCCGAGGGCTTTAGGTTGGATGGCGCATGGAATGCCACCTGCCTGGCCTCCGGCAATTGGTCATCGCCGTCGCCAACATGCCATCCCATTCAGTGCCCACGACTCATTCTCGACGATCCGCATCTCAGTCTCATTGAGCTCAATACATCGGCATGGGGGCGGGCGGTGTTCAAATGCCAATGGGGCTTCAAGCTGACCGGACCGGCGCTGCTCGACTGTGAGCCGACGGGCGTCTGGAGTGGCCCAGTGCCACGCTGCAAAGGTGAGTGCCACAGAACAGAGAGCCACACAATTGCATCTAGCCAATAGCCATGGTTAATTGGCTAATTACACCTGAGTACCTCACTTGAGCCTTCCCGCAATACATTTCATTAATTCAACTCACAAGCTTATCAAGTCAAGTAGTATTTTAAAATAATTTATTATAAGTTATGCGGTCGCAAATTCTTATTCGACAAATTAAACGAATTAGTCGTTTAATTCGTTTCATTTCTTATTATTATTTTTAATGCAATTTGCAAAATGCAAAACATTATTAGAGTCAATTAATATACTAATAACATAGGGGATTTGTTGCAGTCATCTGAAAGAACATAAATTAGGTTAGCTAATTATTTTATTATTAAATTCTCTCTTGTGGCTGGACTTTTTAGGTATTCACCTCGAAGCAAGGCTTTTAGTTGGATATTTGGAAGACTAGTTGCACTTATCTTGTCTTATTATAAATATTTAATAATTATTTTGCTTGTCATTAATCTAGAGGCAACTTCTGTGGGCAACCAAATCATTCAAAACGCAAAACACAGTTATGATTTCAAGATATTCATTCTTAATTACACTTACACATATGCAAATACATAAATATTTTGACATATTTGAGTCTATTAATATATCTGAGTACGTTATTTCATTGAATACATTTATTATGATTACATTCAAGCCTGACGTATTCCACTTGAAGTTACTTCTACTGCCTATTTGTATATCTCATTACTTATTGAACTAGCTTGTTTATTCAACATGTGCTCAATTAAATCACGTTTATTCATCTTCTCTAAAAATAAAACATATAAATAAAATCACGTTTATTCATTTTCTCTGCGGATGTTTTCCAGTCATTCAGTGCGTGATGCCAGTGGCGCCACTAAATGGACGCGTTGGGGGTACCAGTTTGAGCCAGAGGCGTCTGACTGTTGGCGCTTTGGTCACATTTAGCTGCAACGATGGTCACACTCTGGTCGGCGAGTCGAGCATCATATGCACGGAGAACGGGTTCTGGTCGCACTCGCCACCATTTTGTAAGTAGACAACTGATAAATGCACATATAATGCACATGTACGCGGCGATTCCTTGCGTACTCTTCTCCAAAGTGGGCCCACTCACAATACCAATGAATTAATGTACTAACTTGTGTTGTATTTCCGCTGTATAACGATATAACGATCGAAAAAAAACGATACCGATACCGATACCCGATACCGAAACCGATACCCGATCATCACGATTCATCATCATCATGTACGATCATCTGCACATCATCTGCGATAACCTTGCATGCATCCAAATGATCCATCCATATGCATCAATGCTCCATCTCGCATCTCAGGCAAATCGCAGTGCCCCTATCCAGGCGACCCGCCCAACGGTCTGATCGCCCCGCTCAAATTCAACTACGATGCGGGCGACTATCTGAGCGTCCAGTGCCGGCCCGGCTTCATACAGATCCAGACGAACGAGGATCATACTACGGGGCCGCCCGAGCGGCCAAAATGCCAGCCAGATGGCAAGTGGTCAGGACCGTTACCCAAGTGCCGCAGCTACGAGGAGGTGTAGCTTGCCAACCGGTATTAAATCTAATTGGAATTGGATTTCGAGGCGGCAGTCCAGTTTGTCGTCTTTTCGACTTTTGCTCGAGTTGGCAGGCCGACATATAGTATTATGTATACAATTTTGAGGTAGAACCAAAAATTCCAAATTCAACAAGATAATATAAAAATGAACATGAACAAGAACAACAACCCGAGTGATATTTAGATTAACTTAGTGAGAGGTATCAAAATTAATTACCATAATTATTAAATAATTTTTCAAATATTGGCCCCAATTGAACTTGACTTTAAATCACTCGCTATCAACTCTTATCTTAACTTGAATATGAATACTTTACAGTTCTTTCTTTTTTATAATGCATCCAAACGCTCTTCTAGGCCCACTTAAATCTATATCAAGTATTTCATGAGAGAGATGTTAAGTGCTTAAGTGCTAAATGAAAGATATTACCCCAAAAAACATGACAAACCTGAGCAACTTTATGAAATGAATATGTAACATACAAAAATATAAACGTTAAAATGTTAATGAAAAAAATTGAAAAACTTATTCATTTTTTTTCTGATTTTCTAAAAAAAATCTTTATAAATAATATTCAAATTTTATGCTTGCATTTTATAAAAAGAAAATGTCAAAATCTAATAATCTATAATCAACAGTTAAATACAGGTATTCAAAACTTACCAACCGAATACATAGTTAAACTTCTTATAAACACATATAGTACATATATACTTGTATGTATAGCTTAATGGTATATAAGAGAGGTTGGCACAGTTATAAAAGTTGATTGATTGATTGAATAATTGATTGGTTAGTTAGTTAGGTGCGCGCAATTGCTGTGTGGAAACGAAAAGTCATATCCCTCTAATGAAATGCAAGTTAAGCAAGTAATACCTAAAATGTAACGAGTATATGTACGAGTCTGTAAGCAAGCTGCAAAGTGAGGTAACTAATTTTTAAATAAAAGGATATATAAATTATGTATATGTACAACTCAACGTATGATTGTTTTACTTTCGCTTCCCCCTTTCCTCTCACCAGGTACAGCTACACCTCGCAATCTGGCCAAAAGCGAGCAACTGAACGTTGGCCTTAATATTCGCCACCAAACTCAGTCGCGTCTCTTTCGCAGACTCAATTGCGAACACAAGCAATTTTGGATAACACACAAATGTGTGCCAAGGAAAAGCATATTTCATTTCCCAAAGCCAACAGTAATTTGAGTTTGGGCACCAAACATGCTTCAAACGCGGTGCAAAATGCCAACGAGCAGGCGGAAATAAGTTTGCAATGGGTAGCAGCAACCCACACTAAGAAAAAAAGTCGCTCTGAGTTTTAGATAATTGACATAGATGGCCAGGGTGACTCGTCTTATTATTCAGAAGGTATATTTCTAAATCTAATTTAGATTGTTTAATAAATCATCACTCAGCGACGTAATGGCTCAAGTAGACAGCAGCTAAACTCTAACAGATCAGTTGAGAGAAAAGTCTACTTGAAGTGTAGAAAATATTTATTTCTTAAAATAGCGTTTTGCATTTCTGCTTTTTAGAAATATTTTCCATTATTATACTCTGAAAAATCACATTTCAACAAATTGGTTTGCGTATATTTAGAAATTACTTTCTTGCTTTCTCTCTTTCTAGTTTTCAGGGCGATTTTCTTTTAAGGCGTTATTCAACATTTTGTGGTGATTTTTTTTTGTGTATACAAAATCAATTGTAACCGAAACTTGGGACTCAGCGAAGGAATTGCTTATTTTTGATTCAAATTGATGTTTCGCATTATATTCATTTACTGATTATAATATTTTATTTACATTTTTAGAATTTTTTGAGGTAATGATAATGATAAATAAAATTAACAAATGGACTTCTTTATGAGTTACTTAAGAAAAACATTTAGTATTAATGCCTATAGATTACTATTAGTAGAACGGTTTTGAACTAATGATTTGATTTAAAGACAATCAATGACAAAAAATCATCTATCAATATAAATTAATATTTTTATATCTAATAAATTCCTTTGAAGAGAAATTGAATTATTATTATCCATCGACTTTCTTCTTTGAAACAAGCACTGCTAACTTAAATCTGTCTAATCTCTTAAATATTGTAGTAGACTGCTTATGGCAAGACATCATTATGCATGCAAGCACGAGTCTTTTTCTAGATGCATTTGCAGTCTTTATGAAACTACTGGAATAAGCCCTGAAGGTCTGCAACAAACCATTTGCTTACACGCATCTGTGCACTCTGCCCAAGTCTGCGTTTGTGTGTGTTGTGCTGAGTGCGTAGCAATTGTGCTTCAGGCTTTGGCTATGTACATACTCATAAGCCCACGACACCTGTATAAATATATACACACACACATACACCCATTTACACATAGATATGGTCACACACCTGCGCAAAATTAATTTGTTTTGTTCTTTTACCTTTCGGCTGCCAGAAGCACTGCGCTTTAAATGAAACGATTGACGGTACCAGCTGCTCATTCATATATGGCAAACACACACACACGCACACACACACACACGCACACACACACACACGCACACACACACACTCGCATACACAAAGACACATGGCCACAAAAGCCATTGTCGTTTATTCATTTTGGCACTGGCACGCCCTTTTTGCCACATTTAATGGCAATTTTGTGCACAAGTGTGAGAGTGCGAGTGGTGTGTATTGTGTTTGGCCAGGGGTGTGGCAGAGGCGGTGTGGCGGGTGTGTGTGCCTCACAAAAAGGTGTCTAAATTGAGACGCCGTGTCGCAACATTAACTGCCATGTGCGTAATTAAAATTAACTGCCAGAGCAGAGATGCTGTTGGCACAGCTACCGTTACTGCTGTTGCAAATTGGTTTTGCTTGTTACAAACAAACAAAATCCCAAAAAATTAATACTCAAGCAGAGTTGTGCAACATAAAAAGCACATTTGGAAGCCGCACGCTGTAATTGCCTTAAAGTACTGCCAAAATGTTCACAGCACAACTAACTAATTAACCCAGCTCCTGTTAGGATTTTAAATAAATGAGAGTGTAAAGGTGGCCAGGTGGCCACGCCCACACACACAAACTCAACAAAGGATTTAGTATTGGAATGCATTTGCGTGGCTGAAGTCTAAGTTGCATCGCGTGATTTTCGCAAAAGTTGCGCAATATTCATTAGCACCTCAAAGCTTTGCACTTGCGACTGTGTTAAATGCGCAGGAATTAGCCACGCCCCCTCCACTACTGTTCTGCTAACTAAACCTTGCAGGTTAAGCATATCACAACTGCAATATTTTCTGGCCAATGCTCAGGCCAGGACCAATGAGCTATGCATGTCACGTAGCAGCGAATGCCGCTCAAAGCATCCACACACAAAAGCTAAACGCTCACATATATAAAATATGTATATATATATATATATATACATATGTATAACAAAGCAAAGCAATAGCTTTGAAGTTAAATGCAACCGACTGCGTGATATTCTGTTGCCTGTCTTAAAGCAGCTGAACGCTTTTGAAGTTCAGTTAATTCCACAATTAGGAAGAAAATCACCCTGCGCCCGTCTGGCGACAAGCATAACTCACATTCTTTGGAGAGCATATTTCTGAAAGCATTTTTGCTTTTCTTTTCTCAATTTCAAAGAACATTTTTCTAACTTTCAAGAGTTTTTTTTTACACGGAACGTTTTTATTACTTATATTATATTTTTATATATATAAATCATTTTTAATAGATTTTATTTACAGTTTTTTTCATATTCATCAAACAATTTAGATAGTTTGTAAATTCATTTGATTTAATTTGAAAAAAAGTATGGTCTTATGGCGATTCGAATCTGAGACCCTTCAATCGCGAGTTAAATGAGTTCCCACTTTTTTCTGCATTTTAGAGAGAATATTTCTTCGAATATCTAGAAACTATTTCGAAAACAAGAAAAACTTTCTAGTATTCAAAGCGATTTCATGTTATCTTTGAGAGTTTTCTGAGTGTATTGGATGTAAATTATTTTGAGCACTGTGATACCAGATAAGCAAGCACAGTAATCTTAAATTTTTTCATCACTTTCCTTTGAAGTAACGTTGATACATTTTTCATAACTTAGGTAATTTACTTACAATCAATCCCAAAGCATGTGCAACACAAGCGATTTATGTGTACACTGTAAATGGGCGCCATCAATTACGATGTCAACCAAAAAAAGAAGATCTGTGGATTGGTTTAAAACTGGTGATATGGCTCGCCCAGCATTCTCGATTTTTCCTTTGGCATCAGGGTACAAAATGGTAAGCTGCAATGGCATCACGAGTTTGGCCTGTGCCCCTGCGTCCAGGCACCCTTGCAGCTGATGTTAAATGCATGCCAAAGCCGAAGGCTAACTTCATCTGCCCCCTTGCAACGACCTCCACTTTTTCATTGTGTGTGTGTGTGTGTGTGTGTGTGTGTGTGCGTCATGCCAGTCTGATGGGTTAGACAAAGTGCAAAGTTAGCCATAAAGTTATCTATGGCATTTATTCGCACAATTCGCTTGCTTTAAAGTCGTGCGCATTATTCTAGACGCATAGTTGACAAATTTCCGTAGGCGACTTTATTGTGCATGTCATACATATATGTATATATAAATATGCATATATGGAATAGCACACCCATATTATTGCCGTGCACACAGTCAAAATTTGAGACATATGAATATGGTGTACGCGTGTAAATAACTAACTGCAACTAAATTGAAATTTGATGCCTGGGGACAATGTTGAGAAATGATGTGACGAGCGGTTTTATTATTGGAATTGGGTTTGAAAAATTTATAAAATGCGTAAACACCACTTAATAGATACTCTTTAAGAGTACAAATGTATGATATTCAAAATATAATGCTAGCCAGCTAAAGACGAATTAAAATGTATGATTTTAAGTGAGCAAAGAGTCATTTGAATGAGGATTATATTCTTTTATAAAGGCATTAATAACAATTCCAAGAATTTATTTCATCCTTTAAACTCATAAAGATAATAATTGATGTCCCAAAAATGTTTATCCCTACATTCAAAATAGCTCCAGCTTCAGTTAATGTTTTTAACCAACATCTTTGTCTCAACTACTTAAGTCAGTCATAAGGCAATTATATCCTTAATTTGCTAAGCTGACTCTATAACTAGCTAAAACACCCTTTTCCAACAATTCTAAAAGAAGTATATGGGGATTAAAATGGGGTGACAATTTTTTATGTGTACGCCAAACTCCAGAAACAATTACTCACTGAAATCGGTCGACCATTTGACACTTTCTGAATATTTTGCCATTGGCATTTCGTTGGAGTTGGTATCATCAATCAGTCTTGATACATATAAACAACAGCTGTAAACCGGAGTCATGCAGTTGCGTACCTTTTGGCCGAATTGTTCAATTGTTGAATTTCTATCAATAGTTTAGTACGGGGTTAAATAAAACATGACACGTCGAGAACCAATTATTAATGATACCGACTGGCGTTTCATATTTGATTAATGTGCCAAATGCTGCCTG